TCAATAGTTACTATATACCTACAGTAATGTTAACTACTTGATAGCGCATTTTTTTAAGAATTAAAAGAATATTGTTTGCGTTATGTCCGTTCGTCTGTCCGTCCGCCCGAACTCGCCAACAAAAAGAAAATGCAATATTTCGGAGAATTTCCCTAAGGGCTTGGTTCGTCTTGCATTATATAGCGTAGAGGTAGAATTTTAATGTATGATAAACGGCCTCTAAAATACTACTGCCATATTCCCATCTATTTACTAATCTAATTCGGTTCAAAAAAATGCGTTTTATCTGCACAAGAGTTTTGCACAATTTATACTTGTTTTAAGTAGTATGCGGGTCCTGCAACAGTTTACTTGTTTGTTTACTTTCCGGCATTCTTTTATTTTTTATCATCACGGGCTACTGTGATCCATGAACATGTAATTAAATGGATACTTTTGTAAAAAATATTGAGTAACCTTAAAACTAAGGGTTTTCGATACAAGACATCTTTTCTATTTGGAAAAACATAGGTTTAAATCCGGAAATTTTGCCATTTCCTTGTGGAATGTGGAATGATGAAATGGCCATAAGCCCTTTTTGAGAAGTATAACAGTTAAATTAATAAATCCAAAAAGTTGTGAAAAAATTGGCTGGCCATGATTTACCAACCGCATTTGTTACCTAGTCATTTGATTTAACTGTCATGTCTAATAGATACGTCAACATGAATACCTAATAATTACACTACAGAAGAAAAGGTCTGTAAAATCGGTTTATGCCGGGAATAGTACACTGCGAAGTTCGTGATTTATTTTCAGTTTGATGACAGGTCAATTTTGTGTAGTGTAATTATTTCACACTTTCGGGGAAAAGTGAGATGCTACCTAGTGTTAGGAACAATTTTATGTAGTAGGTACCTAGGAAGTGCAACACGTCATTCCATGGCCGACCAGTTTTTACCATTTTTTTTAGGATTTATAACAGTTGCGCATTTTTATGTCATCCGATGGATATTTTAATCATCTATGCGAGGATGTTTTTAGTTTTCCTGTAGGATGAAATGATGGCGAGCAGGAATTGCCGAAAATCTATTTTCCAATGTTATTTCCCTATGTCCCGCCGTCAACTTACCACGCTGTACAAAATGGTTCGTAGGCTCACATGGGGGGGGGGGGGGGTAAGGGAGGCCAAACGGGCATAGGCCTTAGGCAGATAAAGTGTAAATCCGCCTCTGTCAAGAAGTTGGAAATTTTAAAAGAGGAATGCGCTACGAACGAGTAGCGGTTTTTGAATACACGGGTTGAAACATTAATTTTGAAAGCCGATTTTTCAATAAATTCATACGTATGCAAAAACACAATCTGCCTTTTTTAAAAAAGGAACATTGTGTATCGCCGCTACGTGAAGGAACATGTGGCGAAAGATAAGAAGATTTTCTACAGAGAAATTCAATAATTTACGGGCACACGCGTCGATGACTAATTGGTAATCTTGAAACATATGTCCACAATGCAGTTGGAAATTTAACTCATTTTTCGTAATTCTTAATAAAACTAGGGGCCCAACAGGGGATTCGTTTGTTGAAGAGGGATGGATATTATCAGTGACTAGGGGTATCTTTCTGATAAAATTTGAGTCCTGTGTTTCTAGTTTATGAAGCACTCGCCCTTATCGATTTTATATCGATCCCTATGGTTGATTTGTGAAAACCTTTTCTTCCCCATTATGCGAGGGACGCATTTGCATTGCCATAAAAGACTGGGAAATAAAGGCCTGCGTGGGTATGATTTACCATTTTTCAATTTTAAAAGTATTTTAGAGCAAATTGGAGAAGCACATCTGATTGAAACCTGACCCTTTCTCATCCCCGGGATTAGGAAGTGTGGATGAGCGAAATAAACAAAGAAGATCCATTAACATGATCCGTTCACGAAATACGTTTAGGTGGTACGTAAATTAATTGAACTGAAATTTGAAATAGAAGCGCCCAACTTTCATTGGAAATGCAGGGAGATTTAAGCTAAAAAATCCGAATTGCAAAACTATTAAAAAAAGCTTCCTACCTTTTGGTATGCAGTAAACATTCATAGATATTTTCACCTATCACGAAAACGATGCTCACTAACACGCCATAGCGAATTAAATGTGCCTGTAACGCGCGTCTTATCGCCTCTTTCGATTTTGCAGGCGTCGATGACTCACAAACACTTGTGCATTTTGAAAATATCGAAACGTTAATGGCGTGATCGACACGTATTGTGACGTCCTAGGCAAAAGGGGCGTGTCGCTAATGAGTTTATTTTCTTGAATGCATTTATGGACTTTTTTATCCAACATTTTATAAAGACGGCTCCAAAAATCCATTCAACCCAATAAACCAAAACTCATATGATACTATTTAAAACATGAATTTTGGGAAAGGAACAAAAAAGAAATGCGGGAACAAAATCCTTTTCCATTATATTTTTGATTTAAAAGGTGCTAGTTCCCCAAATTTTCATCCCCAATGACGGCGTACGAGAAAATTTCAACAATGCCTACACGAATATACCTACCTACGTTTAGAGAAAACCATTTCTAATAAATTTTGATTAAAATTATAGGGTGCAGGTTGTGAAAATATCACCCTCAAGTTTTCATTCCTAAAACGGCCTCGATTGGGCCGCTGACGCCCTTTTTACGCAAAATGCTAACAAGTTTGGACCCTTTTTATATTGAAATTACGTCTAAATTAGAAAACCTTCAAACTTCCATCCCCAATGACTCCATTTGAGATTATTTTTAAACTAAAATAAGGCAAGTAAATTAGGTGAATCGAGATTTAAAGAAGAAGCGCTCATCGTTCATTTTAATATTACTTAAGGTAGGTTTAAAAATGAAAAATCTGAATAGCAAAACTGTTAAAAAAAGCTTCCTACCTTTTTTTTTGTATGCTGTTACCAGGGCTATTTTCACTATCACGAAACGAAATTCAAACGACGCGTACTGACAGACTGTTACGAAGTGAAAGCGACGCGGTCTTATCGGTTCAAACCTGTTGCTTTTACATTTAAATTTTGCAGGTGTCAATGAGTCACAAATACCTGCGCATTTTGGACGTACGCAACGATAATGCGCATGTTCTGCCGTACCATACGTTCCGTTTTTGAGTTTATTTACTCGGGTGGATTTCTAATGCCGTTTTATCCATCACTTTTTAATTCAGCTAAAATGGCTCCAAAAATCCACACAACCAAATAAACTGAAACCATCGACCCGCCATTTTTTATTAAAAGGGATTTATACGCAAAAAATACAATAGCTAGAGGCACGCACGTTTTCACATTTGCGTACCAAACACCCTTTCCGGATTTACAATTTACACGAGGAACAAAACATGGTCAGAAATTCTGACACACACTTACAAATTTTCATTCACTGCAGGAATATTGGGCGTGGAACTCAACAGGAATATAGGTACTAAATCCTTAGAAAAAAACGGGTGCATTTAAGCCTCGTAAACATTTTTCAAGAGCCTCTAAAGCCTAGGTATGTCTTCAAATACATATCTTTAAAGAAATTGTTGAATGTAACTTTAAAAAGCCTTCAATATACTTCAGGAGCTTTTAGGAGTCATTGAGGGATTGGAAGTATTTCTAAGGGCTTTTAAAAGTCTCCCAAAACTTGAAGGATGTTCAAAGACTCTTCAGAGCCTTCCAAATAAATGCTTTAGAACCTTTACGAAGCCTTTAGTGTTTCTGAGCTAATCCTATAATTGTCTGTGTTAGGACCTAAAATGTACAGTTCGCACTTTTGAGTAAAGCTATTTGTGCTATTGTTTGCGTTTTGTCCGTCCGTCGGTACGTCTGTCCGTCCGTCCGGATCTACTTTTGCGGTTTTGAACTAACTTTAGGGGAATGGTCCTAGAGTGCAATATGTAGCCTATACCTTGAAGACTTCGCTATCAAATTTCGGTGTCTCAAGCCCCCCCCCCCTGAATTAGTTCCTGAGATCAGTAGGTGGCCGGGGGGAGGTGGAAGGGGGAGAAATTAATTTTATCTCTCATCGTGGTATTCCAATTAAAAGTCTCAACAAAAGGAACTGTTTTCTACCAACTACCGCTTTACCTTCTGGCTCATTTTGTTCTTCATGGTACTCTAATGAAAGGGCTCCACGAAACGAATTAATTTCTACTAACCATAGCCTTCTCCTCGACTCCTTATCGTAATCGGATAAAAATAATTCCTTATATCTTAAGAACAGATTGTCGGAGGATGGTACTCACAAAGGGCGATTAGGACATATGGAAGAAATATATCTATTGGTGATGGCAAAACTTTACGAGCGAATATTTCGACTGGCTCATTGTTGGCAAAAACGTTGGCGCTCTATAAGTGATATATAGTGAAATTCATGTAGAGTAGACATAGGTATTTCCTATAGTAATTTCCTATGTCCACTTTTACATGATAGAAAGTCTCCTGAAAGACGCCTAATTTTATGCAACCAAAATAACTTCTTGAAACAAATAAAGATCTGGCTGCCATATTAATTATTAATTTCAATATTGTTGCTTTAGCTTCTCAGAAAATAAATCTCTTAAGCTCCTTTAATTGTTATCGGCACTATACCAATTGGAAATATCAACTTTTTCTTTAGTTGAATTCATCGCACACGAACCGAAATTAGAATAGGGCAGTCAAAGCGATAATATTCAAATTATTATTAATATGACAGGCAGGTCTTCATTTGTTGTAGGTGGTAATTTTGGTTGCATAAAATTAGGCGTCCTTTACAAGACTTTTTATCATTTAAAAGTAGACATGGTGTAGTAAGCAACACATCATACTCGAGTGCAATATGTATCTATTTGTTCCTATAAAATTATACTTCTATCCGTTGGTTCTTGATGTCAGTTAGCTATTTCTAGGGTTGTTGTTAATTTTTAAAATTGCCTTTCAAATTGATATAATTTTGTTCTTATGGATATGGGTCTGATTGCGCATCGTTGAATGTAGCTAACGAAATGTATGAATGCCTCCTTTCGTCAGTGGATGTTGTATGTCTGTGGTTGTGTTGCTGCATAAATTTAATGTTCATATTTATTTGTTGATAATCCCCAGAGGGATCCTAGTGATTTGTAAAGTGTATTCAGAAAAAACAGTATCATCCAGTATTGCTTGTAAATGTATTAACCAAAACGTACGTAATTTTATATAACAAAAGGGCTATTTGCAATCAATTAGTCCCTAACCAATGTCTTCTGCAATTTGCGTTTGATTTTATTTTTAGAACAGCTGCAATGGATGAAAAATGCGAAGACGATATAAACTCGGGGGAGGATAACAACTCGAGTGCATTCGATTCAAACGGAGATAGTACGGAAAGTGCCAAGAGACTTAAAACCGAACGATATTCTTCCGAAAATTCAAACGGGTCGTCGAGTGGCGGCGTTATAAGTTCATCGAGTAATGCCGAAGACGAAACTGAAAATTCTACAAGTGCCCCGCAGGAATCCACAGCAACTGCAAGTACTAGTCAAGGTCGTTTACTCCGGGTGTGTCTTCCCAAGACGAGGGTCTATCGAAGGTATGTGGAGGAGGATTCGCCCGCATCTGCGGGGGTTGATAGGTGAGTCGAGTAGAATCGCGGATGGAGGTAAATATAGTACAGATGGCTCGTGACGGGGAATTCGCGAGAAGTAAAATGTGCTCTTTTAGGTAGTCATTTAGTGTCATCTGTAGGTTTGTGGCTGTACTTTGAAAAGTTGAAGTGGCCCACTGGAGTAAAAACAGAAGAACGGGATTGCTCAGTGCTCTACGGGGAGAAATGTGCAAGGGGAGCATTTTACTAAAATAAATAACAATAATAATTCAACAATTTTGAGCTATCAGACAAAGCCCTTAGATTATTTCTCACTTAAATGGGTCTATAAATATCAATTTTGACATTTTTTATCGTGATTCAGGTGGTTAGGAGCAAGCCAAGATTTTTCTTGGCTCGAATGCCAGCTTTCTAAGTTACCAAAAGCAATAAGGACGACGTAAATATCTTCAAAACTAATAGCAGTTACCCAAGAAGAGACCTTATTGGTGTGGATATTGAGGGCACAAGTTTCTTCAATTGTTTTCAATGGGCTCGCACAACCTTTTAGTGGTCCTCACAGCCTTTAATCAACTTTTAATGAGCCTTAAAAATTTTAAGAGCTGTGAATAATCTTGAACAGTTTTTAGAGTTTTAAAAAACTTATAAGTTTCTGAAAGAGGTACTCCAAGGGTTATCTAGAGGCTTTGATTGTCTTTATTTGGATTTTAAAACCTTTGAAAGTCCTTAAGGCTTTTAAAAAAATTTTACTGCGCTTTAAAAGTGTCTGAGACACTTGTTAAGAGCCTTTAATGATTTTATCGTCTTTTAGATGCTTTTAAAATCTTTACTCTCCTTTTTTAAGGATGGAACTTTGTAAATCACTTACCAAAGGATTGTTTTCTTTGGAATTAAAACATAGTATATACAGGATGTAACGCTTAAGTGTAAATAGGGGCATTTTCACCAAATAAATACAAGATGAAAACTAAAATCTAAAAATCCCCTTGATTTGGGCAAAATTGCAATACAAATTTTTTTGCATTTGGTTGTGAAAAGTGTTTATTTTAATATATACAAAATTCCCATTAATCCCAGCCAGGGAAATCAATCAAAAGTCAAGATGGCGACTGAATTTTGTTTTTTTCGTTAAAAAATGTTTAACATACAAAGATAACTGTATAACACAATTTTCAAAGTCCTCATGTGAGATGTATTTTTGTGTGGCAGATCAGTATTCTATTTCCCAGTTTTGATTCCACCATCAATAAGATCTTGGCGGGGGCTACCACATTCCCTTTGTCGGAACCCACACGAGAGATACCGCGATTCGAGTTTTAAGAAACTTTTGGGCGCCCAAGTCAACTACTCCTCGAGTCTCGAATGCGCCCGCCTTGCAAACGATGTTCTTTTTTTTTTAAATGGCTACTATTTAAATAATTATCGTGATATCAATAATTGTACATGCAATGCTCTCCAAGAGAGAAAGAATACCTGATCCCACTCTACAATCGTATGTTTTTCATATTAAACCATAGGATCGTAACCGGCATCAAGTGTTCTATGACCGGCATTCTCTCCCAACAAGGCTAAGGGCAAGTTTTGGGTAGGAATAGAAGCGGGGGAATAACCCCTAGTATATGAATATCTAATAATTATAAAGAAATTGTAAGGTATAATGAACTAAAGGCAGTGGAAATTTTCGGTGACTTTTAATATTAATTAAGGGGACATTAAAACACATTACCAATACGCTATATCCCTCATTCAGGGTCAATTCAAGTCACTTTTTGGTTGATCATACCTTACATTCTTCCTCAACACATTCAGCCCTAAGAACTCTTGCGACAGTCTTTCATAAAAGATCCAATCTTCCTTTCCTGACGAGTATTTCGAACCAAACAGGCTTCTAGCGTTACGTTCAATAGTCCTTTGTGAATTATAGGGCAAGTACTAAGTGCACACAACGGCTTGGGGGAGGATATAGAACTGGGGAGTATTCCAAACATATCCCACACAAAGATCATATGGTAATTTTATGGAAATTAACATTGGACCTTTCCCTATAACTATCATAACGTCGTCGTATATTGTGGGGTATTCCTACAATAAATATGTGGGGAAAGGTTCTTAGAGCAGGAGGTCTGGGGAGTACGGAATACCCCCCAGGAAAGTTAAAACTCAACTTTCTATTTCCAAGAACTCTCATAAGATTTTCGTGCTTTGAGGGGTAAAGCACTGGGGGGTGTTATACCTCAAACATTATGGTAAAAGTGCTAAGGACACTAAACCTTTTGGGGATGGACGTAGAACCATGGGTCTGGGTAGGGATGGAATGCCCTCTAGTGCACGAAAATTATATGATAATTATATGGAAAGGAACATTGAAAATATATCCCTAGGCTAGGACTATTATAATGTCGTCCTAGATCCCCCGCTGCTACGTTTTTTTTCAAAACGTTTACATAATAATTTTCCCAAAAGATTGTGGGGTATGAGAAAGGATTGGATAGTTCTTTATGAAAGACTGTCACAAGAGTTCTTAGGGCTGAACTTGAAGGAGAACGTACCAAAAGTATATCAAGACCCTTAATCACAGTATAGGACGATCTTATGACAGTGGTACTGAAAGTATCCATGAAAGATCAGCGATGATAATAATAATAATAATTTTATTAAACCTTTGTGGCTATTTTACAATTGATAAGGCAAGTCGCAGAAAAAAATCATAGATTAAATAGTAGGTATAGGTATAAAACACACAGATTGTACAAATATTGGACAAACATTATTAATATTTAGATGACAAGATGATAAGAAACTAAAAGGCGGATGTGATGCATTCTATCCTGTGCAATATGACGTGATTGTTCTAGAATATTCAAGAGCGTTCGGAAACGTTCGAAAAAACCGACGTTTGCTATACAGGGTGGGCCATTAGTGTGTGGGTGGACGATTGTGAGTTTCTTAACGCGCATATTTAAAATTCCTTGTGGGGGAATGTTGAAGGGCCATTAAGGCTACAACCTTAAAATATTTTCAACGATATTGCAATTGTTATACAGGGTGATTTATATCAAAGTTGCATTTTTCTAAGTGGAACCCCCTGCATATTATTTCATATTTCGATTCCTTGGTCAATTTTAGTGGTACTTTATGTATTACGCGTGATATCTAAAATGAGTCGTTTAGCCGCAATTCGTTGTTTTTTCAAAAAGTAGATGTCCAGTAAAAATTGAATATCGCAGTTATCTTATCATTTAACTTAGAAGGCCGTGACTTTGCAGTGGCACTAATCATGAAATATTACTAACATACGCTGAACAGCTACAGTTAAAGTTTTTTTTGTTTAAAGAAATCACTCCGTCAATTTTCAAAATTTCAATCAAGAGGTAACTTGATTTTTTTAAATGGAACTAGGAAGTTTCTTTTATTGCAAGAAATGTAATAGTCTAGGCAATAGAGACTGTAAAATTGGCAAACTGGACATTTTGAGGTGGAAAAGAAAAAAATGGTGGAATATGTTCAGTTAGGTGTCAAAAACAACATATTAAAAATCCCACCCTCCAGACTCCTGTGCTAAAGGCTCCAGCCACCCCACCATCCCCAAAAAACCGTGTTTTCGCTCTTTTTGGCTGATATCTCGCGATCTATGAGGTCTATATGAAATAATTTTTAGCTGAAAATATTTCTCGGGAAATTTCATACAAGGTAGATACTCAGAAGTTAGCCTAGGTGTACCTCTTAGCCTAGGAAATTCATAAAAGCTGCGAAAATCACCAATTTTCGTGGCTTTTTGCAAATATATCGCGACCGTCAGGGCTGGATAAAATATATTTAGCTGAAAATGCTCTTCGTGCAATTTCATACGAGATAGGTAACTGAAGAGTTGGCGTAAAGTCACCTTTCACCTTCAACTTTCATGTGTGAGGAAATATTCATTGTAAAACAAAGTATTTCTATGAACCATTTATTCACGTAAAAACAGTATTTTCATATTAAAATATTCACACATTCATTTATACCTCAACGTAATCATTATCCTTATACTTATCCAAATCAATTCGTACTTTTTCGATCAGACTTCTCAATCAAAAGTTATAGACTAGAAACCAATTTGAAAAAAAATTCAAAGGGCTGTAACTTTTGAACTAGTAGCCCAATCTTGGAACTGTTTGAAATTATGGATTCTACAGGCCACATTCTATAAGAAATTTTTTTTCCGGGTTGATCTGAGACAATTTTTTTTTCGGGGCTCAAAAAAAGGCAGTGTATAACCTTCCTTTTTTACCAAAAATCGACTACACCAAAATTTCTCGGGAAAACACTTTTCTTATTAATTTGGGTGCGTAGAATCCAAATCAATTCGTACTTTTTCGATCAGACTTCTCAATCAAAAGTTATAGACTAGATGCAGATTCCACTTCTTCAGGCTCTTCGACGTCCTCTAGTGGTAGTGGGTCGTCTGAGATTACCGACTCGTAGTTCTCATCTTCCGCTTTACCTGATGCATGGGTACCCTGAAGAGACGACGTCGCATTTAGGCACGATGCTCCATGAAACTGGACGCAGAGTTCATTACACTTCAGACCTACAACAAGAAGCAGTATGTCAAAAAAATGTTTATAATTATGTATACGATTATAATATTCTCTCGTGTGTCCTAAGTGTCCGGTAGAGAAGGTTTACCTGATTGCCTGCAACTGCTTCAGAAAATCAGGTAAACCTTCTCTACCCGACACTTAGGAGTTAGGACACACGAGAGAATATTATATTCGTATACTTAATTATAAAATTTTTTTGTCATAATACTTCTTGTTGTAGATCTGAAGAACGAATTCTGCGTCTAGTGTCATGGAACATCGTGCCTAAATGGGACGTCGTCGTTTCAGGGTGCCCATGCAGGTAAAGCGGAAGGCGAGGAGAACTACGAGTCGGTAATTTCAGACGACCCACTAGCACTAGAGGACGTCGAAGAGCCTGAAGAAGTGGAATCTGCAGAGGATAATGATTACGTTGAGATATAAATGAATGTGTGAATATTTCAATATGAAAATACTGTTTTTACGTGAATAAATGGTACTTTTACGAATTTCCTAGGCTAAGAGGAACACCAAATATTTCATCTAGCCCTAAAGGTCGCGATATATTTGCAAAAATGAATTTCCTAGGCTAAGAGGTACACCTAGGCTAACTTCTGAGTATCTACCTTGTATAAAATTTCCCGAGAAATATTTTCAGCTAAAAATATTTCATATAGACCTCATAGATCGCGAGATATCAGCCAAAAAGAGCGAAAACACGGTTTTTGGGGGATGGTGGGGTGGCTGGAGCCTTTAGCACAGGGTCTGGGGGGTGGGATTCTTAATATGTTGTTTTTGACACCTAACTGAACATATTCCACCATTTTTTTCTTTTCCACCTCAAAATGTCCAGTTAGATGTCTTTATCGCCTAGCTAGACTATAAAATATATTTCTTCAAAATATGTTCTGGTGCACATCGTAAAAGTAATGTGGTTTCAGCACGATGGTGTCCTACCTCATTTTGCTATAAACGTTAAAGAATGGCTGAATCAACAATTTCCTGGGAGGTGTGGTCTTGAACATTTATTGAAATAATTATTTTTCTCATTATTTTTATTTGAACTTTTTATTTTGATTTTTTTACATTTTTGTTTTATGTTATTTGGAGTAAATTTTTTATAAATTCAATTGTTTATAATTTTTAACTTGGAATTCGAAAAACACTTAGAAATTGTTGAATTACAAAAAATATGTAAAAGATAAATATCGACATGCTTATATTGTTAAAAAGGTAATAAAATCCTACATTTGATTCGATAAAAAAAACTTGGTAGTTCCACTTAAAAAAATCAAGTTACCTTTGTTTGAAATTTTGAAAATTGACCGAGTGATTTCTTTTACTCCCAAAGAAGTTTAACTTTAGTCGTTCGTCGTATGTTAGTACATTTCATCATTAGTACCACTACAAAGTCACGGCCTTCCTAAGTTTTATGATAACCGCGATATTCAATTTTGACTGGACATCTACTTTTTGAAAAAAACGAAAATTGCTGCTAAACGACTCACATTAGATATCATGTGTAATACATAAAGTCACACTAAAATTGACCAAGGAATCCAAATATGTACTAATATACAGAGGGTTCCATTTAAAAAAATGCAACTTTGATATAAATCACCCTGTATAACAATTGCAATTTTGTTGAAAATATTTTTCGGTTATAGCCTGAAGGGTCCTTCATCATTCCCCCACAATGAATTTTAAGTATGCGCTTTAATAAACCCACAATCTTCCACCCACTGGCCCACCCTGTATAAGCGAAATCGAAATTCGCCGTGTGATAGTTTTACCAAAATGGCTGTTATTCTAATTTTTTATGTTCGTGTAGGGCACCATTTCTATCAGTAAAATCCAATTGTTCCACAAAAGATGCAGTGAATGTTAGAGTGCACTTTTTTTCCAAAAGGTGGCCGTTTAAATATCTCAAAACTAAATTACTAAATATTTAAACGGCCGCCATTTTGAAAAAAAGAGAAGTTTCGTTTATACCTATTTTGGCAAATTTCATTGAAAAAACAATGCTATAAGTTTCTAAATGGAAAAATACGAAATTCATTGCCATCTTGGATTTTGACTGATTTCCTGGGCCTTAGGTAATATGTTAAAATAGACTCTTCTCACAGTATAATGCAAAAAGAATCATTTGTGTTGCAATTCTTCCAAGGTCATAATTTATATCTACTGCACTACAGTTTGCTGTTACTAATTTTACTAAAAAAAAATCCAAAACTCGTTGAAAAAAATCCCCTCTTTTTTAAGTCGCCAAATATTTAAAGCCTGGTTCACATTTGTCGATCACATCACGATCAGAAAGGTCCGGTCATGGTGCAGTGAATGATTGCAACATGTATTTCTTATGAGCATGTTCTGACCAATAATGTGAATCGGGCTTAAATCCAAATGAGCTATCTGTAGTATATTTGCATCTATGATTCAAATTGACACTTGTCACTAAAACAATTTCTGATTTGACAGCAACGACGTTATGGAAGAATCCGATCACGATGAAGGTCCATCGACCGATATAGATACGACGTGCTCGACCGAAATCCACGATGCGGATGTAGAGTCGGATCACGAAGAGCATCCGGTGCTAAAGAAACCGAAACCGAAGCACAGCTGGTTTATGATTCCGGAATTTGTTAACAGACAAATTGGTTTTAGTGCAAAAACGCAAAGTTCAATATTATTTCAAAGACGTTGTTATGGATCGTTACATTGTGTCCAGCGTTTAGAGTTAATGTATAAATTAGATAAACATGAAGGCTGTGTTAATAGTTTAAATTTTCATCCTAACGGGGAATTGTTAGCTAGTGGTTCGGACGATTTAAAGGTAGTTATATGGGATTGGAAGTATGGAATTCCGCTTCTTACTTTCGAGACGAAGCACAGAGGAAACGTTTTCCAAAGTAAATTTTTACCGTTAAGTGGAGATTTGCACATTGCGACGTGCGCACGTGATGGTCAGGTAAGTGGGTTGCATTTTGGCGGGTGCTCATTTCCCAATTTTGGCAGGTTAGGTTAGCGCAAGTATCTACTCAGGAGGGCGTTCGGAGTAGTCGAAAGTTGGGTAGCCATAAAAGCGCGTGTCACAAACTTGCAATAATAAATAGTCAACCTCATGTAATATTAAGCGCCGGGGAAGACGGCGAGGTCTTACTTCACGATGTTCGCAACTGTAAACCTGAACAGTAAGTGCTCATTATGGAGGCGACGCCCTAATTGTCATTTTTCAGCCTTTTGACTGTGTCTTCGGATTTCCGGCCCATGGCTCTGTATAGCATAAACTCGCATCCATTGAGTAGTTATGAGTTTTGTGTTAGTGGGCGTGATCATATTGTCCGAACCTATGATCAGCGTAAGTGTGGCAGTGAAGCAGTTCCTCTTAATTCTTACTTTCCCAAAAAGCTGCAGGCGGTAATAATTAGTATCACTTTTAGTCCGCAAGACAGCAACAGAAACTGTGTACCCTTTTTCCACAAATCAGTTTGTTACAAAGTGAGCAGTCCACCTCACAGTGGATATTGAGTTTGTCTTTCACCCACGTAAATAAAATGTGTGTAATTGGTCATTAGGAATACCATCAAGAATCTAGGAATTTCATGATGTACTCATTTTGGTATGATTTATAGTTATTTAAGAGAACTTGTATGTCATTTAATATGACGCACATGTAAACTTAGCCCCCCCCCCTCCCACAAAATTCCAGAATTCTTGATAAATCATGGCAAAAGTTCCAGCACTCAAAATCTACCCTGAATATGTGAGGGCCCATTTGTGCAGCCTCCCCTTGTGTTACAAACCTTTTCTTAGAGTTTTGGATGAATTGTAGAAAATTCAAAAAAAAATTTAAAACTTCTAAAAAATTCTAGAATGTTCTAAAATGTACAGGGTATTTCATATAAAAAAGTCGCATTTTTATTATTATCTGTAAAATTTTGTCATGTTTTTTTAATTGCAGATTTAGACTCAGTATACAAAAATACACAATTTTGGTAATTTTTTTAATATGGCGTCCATAAGAAATATAAAAGCTTATGCGATTTACTCGAAACGCACAAGCGATAAAAATTTTGTTTTAGAACTATCAGAAAGCTGAGAAAAGATCACTAAGGGTTTGTTGTTATTGAACAATAGCGCATTTTCAAAAATGACATTTTTCTGTTCTTTACCATAATTTCGATATTTGTACAGTTAGAAGAAACTCTGAAAGGGAAATTTAATCTACACCAAATTCTGCAATTCTTTGCCCATTTAAGCGACTTTGTATCTCTTACAGTTTACGAGATCCCCATACTAAGCATCGGAAAAAACTCCCCCTGTATGTACATAGATATAGCCTCTCATTTACTTTCAATAACGAGCATCTGTGCTAACATACCTAACAAAGACACATCTACTTTGCACCATAAGTAGAACACCGCACATGCGCAATAGCATTTTAAACACACGAGACTACCAAGAATTTAAAATGTGTCCAGTATGATTATGCAACAAATGATAAATCTAATTAAAATCACATACAAGATCTCAAAGGATTTAAAGTATGCCTAGTGCGTTTTCATTACCGAACATAAACCAGTCCTAAAGCACATCTTACCATCCAACATTTTTTGAAGGCATGAGCCTGCCACGGATTTAAAATATGACCGGTGTGATTTTATCACCACGTACAAATCCAATATTAAAACACATTTGTTATTTAATACACAAGACCAGTAAGAATTTCAAATGCGTCTGGTGTGACACCTTGAACTCCTTTATGAGCGCATGATCAATATTCTACTGTTGGCTATCTCTCTCATGTATGTTGGCACAAATTTAGTGACTGTAGGCTATATCTATGGAATATATTGTACAGATCTAAGATTTACACAAATACCGAGCATAGATAAATTGTTCCTGTTCTATTATTGCCAATGGAGAATCAAAATAAATAAGGGGATCATAGGTGGCGTTAGTATTCATTTACTTTTTTTTTATTCCCTAGCGTCTAGATTTTGAAGTCAATGGTGTAAAATCATTATTCAGTAATGTATGGATAATCCAAACAGATAGTGGACTGAACCCGTTCGGATGAGCCATGTTTCCAGATGATAGAATTTATATTAAATGATAATATCTATAATTCAAGCACGTTCGGTCTATAGATGGCATACTTAACTATACAGTACCGGCCAAAAGTTTATCATAATTAGATTTTTTCGTAACACTAGCATTTACTACGGTTGGCAATTAAATATTACTATAATATTTAGAGTGCTATGAAAAACAATTCGAGTCAATCAGTTACTATTTGTTGTAGGGAAGTTTCATTTTTTTTTAAATTATTATTTAACATCTGACAATCTAAGATTGAAATGAAATTGAACTAAATCACGGAGGAACTGACATAGTAGTACTTTTTCTACAGTTGAGACATCTGAGAGGACATTACTTCTGACCACGACTGTACCTATTTACCTAGTAATATTTTCCCAAATCTTTGCCAGACTCATGTCAAAATTGACACAATAATATTAATAAAAAGTTCTACATGATTATTATAGTCCAGGGCTAGGGGGAAAGTTCCATTTTTTATGTACGCCAAAAATTCAAATTCAAATTAATTCAAAGGGGTGTACACCCAAAATTCAAAGTTGTTTCCCCCTAGGTCCAAGGGCTATAGAGAAGGTGACTGCTGCACGGATGTGTACGACAAATTTTTGTTCTGGGTGTGTCCATAATTCTTATAGACCATTTTTATCAAGGATACATGTTTCTGCTATGGGAATCTTTTTTTTAATGGCCACCACTATCCGCCAAAATTATCAGGAAAATCCTCATATCTCTTTAAAGTAGTCGCTCTAGCAAATAATTTTTAAGGAAAAAATACATCAACAGGTTTTTGTACCACCCAAATCTGATTTCTTAACGGAAATTTTTTTATACAGGGTTGCTATTAAAGATCGAACCAAAACTCTCAAAGTGGCAACTTATGTCATGTGATACGGCATTAGAAAGCCTACTCTTAGGTTAGACTTTTGTTGTCATTTCAAAAATTTGAATTTCATTAAGCACTGTACAGGGTGGCCAAATAAGAATGCGAGGTACTGTATCTGGGAACTTATCCATCGTAGAGGCTTGCAGTAAAAAATTTATTACTAAAACGGCCACGAGAAAAACCTGGAAAATATTTTTAAGTTTCTGCAATGGCCGCTAGGGGGCGTAACTGTAATCTGGAATTTTTTGTTTGACAATTTTTCCTGTATCTCTAAAAATCAAGTGGTAGGGCGTATTCAAAGGTTTCCGTAAAGAACACCCTGTATCTTTGAAACGACTGAGCCGATTTTAACAAACTCTGGTTAATTGAAAAGAGTAATTCTTCGGCTTCAAATATTATAATATTTGAAGTTTTGTTAGTTTCACATATCACCGCACATTCCGACAGAAATGGTTAATTTTCTCAAAAAAATTATATGCGTTGTTTTGATTTTTTTTCATGAAAAAGTAGCTAAATGATGCCTAAAAAAGCTCGCGAAAACCGCATGTTCAGATTATTGTCAACTTCAAAGACCCGACATTTTTTTGTTAGGTTAATATAGCGGAATTCACAGAAACATCACTTTTTTAGATTCCAGATTGCAGTTACGCCCCCTAGCGGGCATTTCAGATACTTAAAAATATTTTCCAGGTTTTGCTTTAGTTGGCCACCCTGTACATTGTATTGGAATACAAGGATATTCGAATATTTAGATAATCGCATTTAAACGACCGTATTTACCGACATATTGTTATTTACTCCATTGTTTTAGGAAAAATTTGTTTCAGATTTTGAACATTATATTATTTGCTCATCCCGAAGGTCAAAACTCCACCCACCGTAACGCAGGGGGCCGACAGCAATTGGTTATTACGAGCTCTGGGCACCACCTTCAAGAACTTTAGTTTTCCATGCCCTAATCGTGCACCCCCCGCGAATTTTCCTCGAAAAAATGTTCGATCCCCCTGCTACCCCTGAGAGACGACGTGTCCTCTGATGCCCTTCAGATTAACTTGTGTCTCCCGTCGTACACACCGCACGATCCATATTAATAGTCCACTTTGCGTCCTCCCCTAGGCCACCATGGGAGGTCCAGAAAAATTTTTTTAAAAATTCTGTGGCATTTCAGTTTCAGATCGCTGCGATTTTTGAAAATTAGCAATCAAAAAATGTCAGAAACTTCCATTTTTCAAATTGCAACTACTATTTCTTATGCCAGAAGTTAATGTAGATTTGAATTTTAGGGCCACTTTGATGGACAATCTGTATGGCCATATCTGGAAATTTTTGAGTTATTGGCACTTGAAAAAAATATTCTTATTTTTTCATTAGATGTGGTAGGCATTGGAAGCAATTGTTTTATTTGAAATGTCATTTGAATCAAATGTCAATTTATTTTTTATTTGCAATATGTTAATGTTGTAACCTTTTGTTAAATTCATAAATATAATATTTATAGGCAAAAAAAAATGTCAATTGTAACACAATTTTTCTCTAAAAATTTGGAAATGCAAGGATACAATTTGAAAAACTGGAAATTTTTCACATTTTTTTATTGCTAATTTTAAAAAATCGCCAACTTTCAGCGGTCACTCAAAAGATTCCTTAGACTTTAAGGATTCGATTATAAAAAGGAACATTCGCTTACCTTGAACGGTTTAAAAGATACAATTTTAGTGAAAAATTGACATGTCACAAACTATGAAAATTAGAAAATAGTATATTTCTGTTTAAAAAAAACCAAGATGGTCCCAATATCCGATATTAGGGCAGCTGCGCCATCTGTAAGTTATTTTATTTCAAATGCAAGTTTACGGGCCACGTGAATCTCCATGTACACACTATTTATTTACATATTTTCAAAGTTGTTATTAATAAAAGCAACAGCAATGGCTTGGTAAACTTTGAAATTGACAATCTACATAATTAAATAAAGCGGATGCTAGCTTTGTAGAGATCAGGGCACAATTTCTGTCACTGCCACCTGGACTGTTCGATGGTAATATAAAATTGGGTTCATTGTAGAAGTCCGACGATTTCATTGGCCTGCACGTCACATGTGCTTTATATAATCATAACGGCTCTGAAATATTGGCGTCGTATAATGATGAAGATATTTACACCTTTGACGTTAACGGCACGCCCGGATCGTATGTACGACAGTTTCAGGGACACAGAAATGGGGCCACCATTAAGGGAGTTAATTATTTCGGTCCAAAATCGGAATTTATCGTCAGCGGATCGGACTGTGGCAACCTGTACATTTGGGAGAAGAACAGTGAGGCCATCGTTAATTGGATGTTGGCAGATGATAGTGGAGTGGTATGTTTATTATTTGACGTTCGCACATTTACAATATCGTTTTGTAGGTAAATTGCTTAGAACCTCATCCCCAACTTCCATTTTTGTGTACGAGTGGGCTCGATTTTGATGTGAAGGTGTGGGTTCCTTCGTGTGAGAGTGACCCTTTAATGTCCGGACTGTCCGATACAATTAAATCAAATACGAAAGCTAGAACGAGCTACATAACCGGTGATCTTAATGACAGTCACATGCTGTGGATCTTATGGCGACACTTACGTACTACTAGTCGCATTAATGTAAGCACGACTAAAATTATTAATCTTGTTACCATTCAGTCGAAACAATGTTTATAGAGATCAAATGTAAGAGGTGGAGAACTTTTTTCCGGTTTGGAAAACACAAACTCCTCTAGTGATTCGGCCAGTTCTTCGGACGTTGTAGATAGTGATGGTGATTCAGACGAATTCAATAGTTCGGCCGGTTGTACGACGTCGTAATTTGTGGTAGTCGGTACTATTTTTACATTGCATTTATTCAAAAAAATTTGTAAGGAACTATGTCTTTTCTACAATTAGATATAATATAGTTTAAAAAATTATGTACATTTCTTTTTTAGTCTAACGTTAGTTAAGACATACGGATTGAATTAATTATTTCAAGTGTTTTTTTCTTTGTTCAATTAAAAAAATAAATTATTATATTATGGTGCGGCTGGTCTCATTTAGTCCCATAAATTTCTTCTTTGTTAAATGCAGAGGATATAATTCGACATATAATCTTTATGGTCTCAAGTTGTGCATGTTGAATAAGTATGTATAACTGTTTTTATACAAGGTGATTTTTTGAGAGCTTTAGTTAAACGTTTCTGGAAAAGTGAAATAGGTAGGTTTTTGAAAATTTTTACTTAGGACTTGCCCTGAAGGCCGAATCGATGTAAAATATTTTCAAAATGATGGCACTTTCGAAAATATCTATAGCTTTGTTATTTTCAATAGCAACCCCTATTTTTTTTTATTTGAATATCTCGATAAATAACAAAGTTGGCATTGCGAAATTTCCGGTAACCGTTTAAGGAGCGTAACAAATTTATTCTCAAAGCAGCTATAACATTCAAACTAATTAATATGACAGCCAGATGTTTATTTGTTTTGAAAATAAGGCGCCCTTCAGAAGTTTTTTGTCTTAGAAGTAGACATAGGGAAAAACAATACATCCCTATGTCTACTTCTAAATAGATATTACTGTACGTACTTTTATAGTTTTTTATAATATTCGATGTACTTAAAAATACAGCACTCATAATAGACAAATCGCTTAGACCATACAGTACATGGACTGCTAATTATGTGACTAAAATATGGTCAAGGACATCCAGGGGCGGACTGGCCCGGGGGGGCGGGTGGCGATTGCCACCTGGCCTGTACGTCATAATGGCCCGTTGAAAATTTATAAGTATGTGCTGTATTTAGTTTCTTGCACTATTAATAAATTATTAACAGTTTCTCTAATTGGGGTTGATGTTAGGTTGTTAAAAAATTGAAAAATTCTGTTTTAATTGAAATGTTTTACAATGAATTTATCATTTTTTGTCGTAGCATGAAAGTGATGAAATACAATGATAAGCGACGCGCCTCGTTTGGATTGTTTATTTTGTTACTTTTAATTATCAGCTGCAATTTTAAAAAAAACCGGTATTGTAATTGATTTCCGAAAAAGGAGTACTTTAAAATGAAGCAAAAAATGTTTTTGTGGTGCACCGCAGAGCTACCCTCCCGCCACCTTCATTACTACACTAATACTTTAATGGCCCGTAACCTATGCAATTCCACCTGGCCCGCCCCTGACTAGAAACCAATTTCGAAAGAAAATTCAAAGGGCTGTAACTTTTAAACTAGTGGCCCAATCTTGGAACTGTTTGAAATTATGGATTTTACAGGCCACATTCTATAAGAAAATTTTTTTTCCGGGTCGATCTGAGACAATTTTTTTTTCGGGGCTCAAAAAAAAGGCAGTGTATAACCTTCCTTTTTTACCAAAAATCGACTGCACCAAAATTTCTCGGGAAAACACTTTTTCTTATTAATTTTGGTGCGTAGAATCTAAAACAATTCGTACTTTTTCGATCAGACTTCTCAATCAAAAGTTATAGACTAGAAACCAATTTCGAAAGAAAATTCAAAGGGCTGTAACTTTTGAACTAGTGGCCCAATCTTGGAACTGTTTGAAATTATGGATTCTACAGGCCACATTCTATGAGAAAATTTTTTTCCGGGTCGATCTGAGACAATTTTTTTTTCGGGGCTCAAAAAAAGGCAGTGTATAACCTTCCTTTTTTACCAAAAATCGACTGCACCAAAAATTCTCGGGAAAACACTTTTTCTTATTAATTTTGGTGCGTAGAATCCAAAACAATTCGTACTTTTTCGATCGGACGTCTCAATCAAAAGTTTTAATTATCAGCTGCAATTTAAAAAAAAACTGTATTGTAATTGATTTCCGAAAAAGGAGTACTAAAATGAAGCAAAAAAATGGTTTTGTGGTGCACCGCAGAGCTAACCCCCCCCCCCACCTTCATGACTACACTAATACTTTAATGGCCCGTAACCTATGCAATTCCACCTGGCCCGTAAGTACCCAGTCCGCCCCTGAGGACATCGCCTGTGTATGTGCGTTTCAGGGTAAACAAGTCTGTCCGAAATTGTCCGTTGAGACACGATTTGAGGCTGTCAACCTATAAATTCACAAACGTCAATTAATTAATCGCCTACATATGGCAAAAAACGCAAACTTGTTCTTATTTGGGGACGTATAGAGGATAATCAAGAGTATTTAAAGCTTCCCGTACTACGCGGTTACCATAAAAGCCACTCTTTATGCGATCCGAGTGGTGTTCATACGACTTTAGTTTACCCTGAGATTCACATACCCTAAAGTCACTAAATATAGAAAGTACCGCAATCCATTAGGCTCGTGTGTTAGAGAGAGAACGCATGATTTTTGCCCAAAAATGGCGGAAGTTACCAGATTCTAGTAACTTTAATGTTAGGGATTGTTCCACCTGTTTGGAGATATCTGTATATATTTTTATAAAACATGACAGTACTATGAAGTTAGGTTATAAAAAATGACAGCTATTCGGATTTTGTCAATTTTTTTAAGTTGGCAGCAAATTTGCCCAAAAATGGCGGATGATTGCGGTACTTTCTATATCTAGTGACTTTAACATACCCACCACTACAGCGCCCTCTATTCGTGACCACTCATTTTCTATTGAAAGCATAGCATAGGGCTAATAGCAGTCCATGTACTACAGGTCTAATAAGACAAATCGTGACATCCCCACCTAGAAAAATACCGGCCACCCCTGCTACTTCATTCTGGTTACGGACCTGACTTTATTTCAAGACACTCATGTTGCCAACACTTAAAATAAAAAACCCTATCAACATTTTAAAATATGGCGGTATCTGAGATAGGAACAGACCATGTTTGGAAGATGTGGCTTCCAATAATTATAAACATGCTAATGTCGATAGTTGCATACGTTGTTACAGTAAAACTGATACCTAAACTCAAAGAAATGTTCATTAAGGCAAACCTATTTGGTATCGATATGAGCAAAAGTACTAGTGAAAAAGTGTAGGTTAGGTCAGTATTTAATTTTCCCCTCTGAATTTCCTCAACTTTCAGGCCCGAAGCGATGGGGGTTGTTTCGGGGTGCATGTTTCTAATAACAATGTTTCTGTTTATACCTATACCGTTTACGACATTTTTATTTGAGGGCCAGTTTCCGCACAATGAGGTAATGTTGCGATGATTCGCCGTTCACGATATCTACGTCGTGTTTCAGTTTGTAGAACTAATAAGTGCCCTCTTATCGATCTGCTGTATGCTTCTGCTCGGTTTTGCCGATGACGTTCTTGATTTACGATGGAGGCATAAACTGCTATGTCCTACAATTGCGTCATTACCATTGCTGATGGTATACTTTATCAACTTTAATTCTACAACTATTATAGTTCCAAAACCTTTTCGTGAAGTGTTGGGATTTTCTGTAAATTTGGGCATATTGTATTACGTTTACATGGGAATGTTGGCGGTATTTTGTACAAATGCCATTAATATTCTGGCAGGAGTGAATGGTTTGGAAGTCGGACAAAGTTTAATAATTGCATTATCGATTTCCTTATTTAACTTAATCGAATTACAAAGTGGACAATGGAAAGCGCATCAATTTAGCTTGTATTTTATGCTGCCTTATATCGCAACATCGTTTGCTCTTCTCAAACACAACTGGTAAGTCTATACTCAAACATTTAATACAAGTAGTGCAGTTACAATTTTACTTAACAATATCACAGTCTAAATGCAGTCAGTAGTAATCCATTTTTGAATATAAATTGATTAATAACCAATCGTACTTCCAACTACTGTTCGTTACAAAAATGGGCGCGAAGTAGCTTTCACGGTATCGACGTGTCCTTAATAATTCTGTTTTGCCGTCCAAGTAAATTCCATTCTCTATTAGATCCTCCACGTACTCATTATCTATTTTCTTAAGGTTGGCACTATTAAACGAAATCATACTTAGTGACGGATTGGCATTTAAAAATTTTATTATTTGTAGAGAATCGTAGCAATACTCGCAAAACCATCCGCCGAAGTGATTTAAGTCACCTAAAATCATTCCATCGGCGGTTTTGTTGTACAAGAGGGTCACATTCTCTTGCAGCGTCTCATATAAGTAGGAGATTGTGCATGCTCCTCCTTTTAAAGCCGTCTTACTTGGATGTTGCCAGAAAAATCCGTAAACGGACCATCGCAGTCGAAATCTGAAAGGTTGAGGCCACTTATCGTACAGTTTTATGTATTGCAAAGCTGCACCGTTTGGATAATCACTCGGTCCACTAACTAGAATAATGTCGTCGTCTTGTAGGTTTGTCAGAGAGCTTTTAACGATTTTCCATACATCCTTTACATCGGTCAAGCGCAAATATAGTATTTTTGAGTGGAATTCCTTTAAGAATTTGCTTATTTTACGAGCAAAATAGTTACTGCGCTGATTTTCATAGAGCACAAATAAATCGACGGTCGAATTTAGATCGTTGACTCGAATCTCTGTACTGGTTTCTGCAAATTCGTCCACTTCTAATAAATAAATAATGCGCCGCAAGTATTTCCTGGGCCCCTTTAATTGTACGGATTTTCGGTGAGCTAGTAGCGCTCTCCAAATGACTTCAGGTTGTGAACAGTCGTTTCCGTGCCAACCGGATAAACATTTGCACTTCCATACGACGTTCTTCGAACGCCCCATGACTTCAAGGTCGCTTCCATGTTTATAACAGAGGCTGGTGTTGAGATCAACGTAAAGTCTGCTGCTTTCAATCGATGCAAGTGTTATTCTATTACCAAAAGTGTGATATGTCAATTTATTGCGAATTGCCACTTCGCCTAATGATGTGTTAAATGTAATGTTCGATTTAAGGTTATGGCCACTTTCGTTTTGCAGTAAAAAATACGAAGTAATTAAAACGATTTGCAGTACCAGAATTATCCATATGGATATTCTCCTACAGAGAAAGCGAGTGTTACGCATTTATCAACACAGCATTACTTCTTAATTTCGATACTTGGACGAAACGGTGTCTAGTTCTCATTACAGAGTCTGTTTTAGGCCTAGTTTGCCGGTAATGTAAAAAATGTTATTGCAAAAATAACAAATAATTAACAACGCCCTTTTCTCTGCACTGCATTGTGCATTGCATTCAAACATTTTTGACTCATGACTACATTTTTTTGTTTCAAATCTAGATGTTGGCAACCAGCGTTTATATACAGCGTGGTCCGTCATTTATGTCACGTCTACTTTGTTTTTACCTTTGTTTATAATTATATCATATATCTCATATCAAATCTCCTTTTATATAATAGCCAATTCTTAAAAGTCTAAGGATTTTTTTAGTGGCGCGTAGTAGGCTTTGGAAGCAATCGTTTTATTTGACATGTCATTCGAATCCCATAACAGGAGAAGAAGTAACGAGCGATGAAAAAAGAATGGCGGTCAGGTCGCCTTTGGAAGTTCAAGTTAAGTACTATTTCCCATGTAAATAAAAATTCCGAAGGTGACTGGACAGCAACTCATTTTTGATCGCATAGTAGAAATTAACGCTCTGGAATCAGTGGCGTATTTACCGGGGGGGATGAAGGGGATATATCCCCCCCCCCCAGAAGAATTGAGTTATCATCATAGCTATTAGGTATTTAGGTAATACTCCGCTATCCGCTCCGCCCACTTTAAAATAAAGGCAATAATATATAGATACCTATATATAGAGAGCAATTTTGGTTTTGGTTAAAGTCTAAAGTCACTAAAATCTAAATATTCTGTAGTATTCAGTATTCACTATTCAGTGAGTGATCAGTGTTGGCAGTCAACGATTTGGCTATTCGGCATCGATCGGCAATTCGCTACATTGATGCCCAAAATAACAAATAGGTATCAGGTACTTAGTACTCCTACTGAGGTGAGGTACCTGCGTCCTGCCTTTCACGAAATGACGAAAATAAGAATTTTAAATTTTAAAAACAGGAATTTTTTTACCCATAACTTTTGATTGAGAAGTCTAATCGAAAAAGTACGAATCGTTTTGGATTCTATGCACCCAAATTAATAAGAAAAAGTTTTTTTCCGAGAAATTTTGGTGCAGTCGATTTTTGGTAAAAAAAGGAAGGTAATAACTGCCTTTTTTTTGCCCAGAAAAAAAAATTGTCTCAGATCGACCCGGAAAAAAAATTTTCTTATAGAATGTGGCCTGTAGAATCCATAATTTCAAACAGTTCCAAGATTGGGCAACTAGTTCAAAAGTTACAGCCCTTTGAATTTTTTTTCGAAATTGGTTTCTAGTCTATAACTTTTGATTGAGAAGTCTAATCGAAAAAGCACGAATTGTTTTGGATTCTACGCACCAAAATTAATAAGAAAAAGTGTTTTCCCGAGAAATTTTGGTGCAGTCGATTTTTGGTAAAAAAGGAAGGTTATACACTGCCTTTTTTGAGCCCCGAAAAAAAATTGTCTCAGATCGACCCGGAAAAAAATTTTCTTATAGAATGTGGCCTGTAAAATCCATAATTTCAAACAGTTCCAAGATCGGACTACTAGATCAAAAGTTACAGCCCTTTGAATTTTTTGTCGGAATTGGTTTTTTGCCCATAAATATACCTATTATTCAAAGTTTTCGTTGACTAATTAAAGCAAAAGCAATAAAGGGGCCTGTCGGCAGTAAGAAATAAAATACCGTTCTAATCTTTTTCGCCTGTACAATAATAAATAGATAAGTGACTACCAGCATCAGCAACCTGGAACCCAATTTCTATTTCTTACCCCCCCCCCTCCCCCTTCTAGTACGCACTGGGTGACTGTATGTGCCACGAACTTGATTAATCCCCCCCAGAATAAATTTCTACGTACGCCACTGTCTGGAATTATTTAAAGCATATCAACGTGCTGCCATAAGAACAGCATCTGTTGATTTGGGAATTTTAACATAAATGCACAACATATAGGTACATCATTCATGACGAGCGTCAGTTAGAAATATACGGAGAACCTTTGCAAATGAAACTAAACTGATAAGTCCCCTAAGGGCTTTGGCACATGATGAATTGAACTAAAATATTTTCAAAATGGCTCCAACGATACCCCATAGTTGACCCTTTGTCCCAAGGGCTTCTTTGATATTCAAGTTTTTATGTCAAAAATTGAATTTGCGGGGGTAACTCTATTTTTTTCAAATGGCACCCCCCATTTTTTTATTCACAGTTGTTTTCCTTTTTCCGAGACCTTTAATTTGATGCAAAATGTCAAAGGCTGCTCCAGACGGTTTCCGAGATATTCCATGTTTTAGTTACTTCTTGTAGCAAATTGATAAAAAAATTAAGTCGCTTGATTGTCTTCTTTTGTTTTAATTATGATAACGTCTTAACGTCAAATTTTCGCTTCTTGAACAGTTTTGAACTTTTATTTCTCGTCAATAATGGCTCGTTTAGGTTACACTAATTAAGATTTTTTGAATTTAAAATTAATACACGGTGAATGTAATCGAATAGCGGCCAGGACTTTGTCTTTTTTCCCAAAGATGGATGTTCAAAAGAGACTTAATTTTTTTATCAATTTGCTACAAGAAGTAATTAAAACAAGGAATATCTCGGAAACCGCTTTGAAGCAGCCTTTGACATTTTGTATCGAATTAAAGGTCTCGGAAAAAGGAAAGCAACAGTGAAGAAAAAAATGGGGGTGCCATTTGAAAAAAGGAGTTACCCCCGCAAATTCAATTTTTGACATAAAAACTTGAATATCGACGAAGCCCTTGGAGCAAAGGGTATCGTACTCAAAATTCGACATAGAATCCGAAAATGTAGAAAAAATAGGGGGTCTCTATTTAAAATTACAAAGTTGATGGCTACTTCCGGTATTTGCGGAAGTTGCGCCATCTTGAAAATATTTTAGTGTAATTGCCTTATCTTTCTAACTGACGCTCGTCAAGAATGACCCTGTATAGCACAATTCACGTACGGTATAGACACACAAAAATTGGTTTATTTTTGGGATAAGGGATCAAATGGATAGTGAACAGACCATTTGGATCATCCTGCGCAAACATATTTAAGGTTCTCCAAAAAAGTATCTAGAGAACGCAAATTCACGATAATTTTTGAACGCTTTTTGAGGGGGGGGGGGGCATTGAATATCCCCCCAGCACCCCCTGTATTGGACGATTCAATTACTATTATGAAAAATCGTGCCCTCCTTTAGCCGGGGATTTGGTAGTACTGGGAGGTATTCCCTACACCCCCCGGTACGATTTTTTCCCCAAAAAGTATTGGTAACTGGTTACAATGTGTTTCTTATAGCAATAATTCCATGGCCGTGTTGACGGCAATTATCTAGACAATAAACGAATTAATTTGGTTTCAATCGCAATCGGCCATGGAATTATTGCCATAATAAATAAATACATACTTCAAGGCAAAAATTCAAGATTAATTTCCAAATGAAATACTAAGTGTTTAGTATTTTGTAATTTTTTTCTATATCGAGTGGCGTCAAAATACAATATGGCGTCCATGAAAAATAAGAAAAGAATAAAAATTTTATTTTAGTACCACCTTGCTGAGAAAAAATCACTAAGGCTTTGTTAAAAGTATTTTTTGATATTTTTGAAAATAAATGAACATTTTTTTATTTTTATAAGAATTTATAAGAAAAACTGGAAACTTCTCCATTGTCACTTAGCTAATATCTAAAAATTATTATACAATCAAAGGTGTCTACAATATAAGTATAGTAATTTTTAGATATTGGCTCAGTCACCTTCATTGATTTGACAAAGCAGGCCTTTGGAATCAACCCGAAATTAAAGTGTGTAATTTTACAGGTACCCATCCAAGGTTTTTGTCGGCGATACATTCTGCTACCTGTCAGGAATGACATTTGCAGTTGTAGGAATTTTGGGACACTTCAGTAAAACTACCCTACTATTCTTCATGCCTCAGGTTTTTAACTTTCTATACTCGATTCCGCAGCTATTTCATCTGGTACCGTGCCCTCGGCACCGACTGCCCAAGTTCAATTCGAAAACCGACAAACTGCACATCAGCACGACCAGTTTCAGATATTCGGAAATGAACGTCGGAGGTAAATTGTTTGTTAACTTGTTTCGTGTATTGCGTCTAATCCAGTGGCACGAAAAAAATGATTACGTTTTAACTAATAACTTTACGTTAATTAATTTGATATTATTAATTTGCGGTCCGTTACACGAAGCCAAGTTAACCACGGTTTTAATGATTCTGCAAATATGTTGTACGTGTTTAGCGTTTTTAATTAGGTATCCGTTAGCCTATTTATTTTATGATACATAGTGTACAGTATTTAATAAATAGTTTTCTATGGCAACCTTGTCGTTTATTAAAACGAGAAATGTCAGATGTAGAAGAAGTCGGCGAGGGTGGTGAGGGCGCGGAGATTTATCCCTATGGGGTAATTATGATGGCGAATAGTATAGAAGTATAGAACTTTTTTTTAGGAATACGAGGGCGGAAGGGACGAAAATTTAGATCGTCACGGCTGGGGCAGTGCGTTACTACCGAATGGTGACATCTACGAGGGTAATTATAGGCGTGGTTTGCGAATGGGGAAAGGACTGTATTGTTTTCGGAACGGGGCCAGATATGACGGTGATTGGAGGAAAGGTAAAAAGCATGGAATTGGAACTTTCGTGTACCCTGATGGAACTACGTACACTGGACAGTGGCGTAAGGATCTGAAACACGGACACGGAACGTACCACTATGCTAATGGGGACACTTACGAGGGCAATTGGTTTAGAAACTTCCGTCATGGTTTAGGAACATACTCGTACAATGATGTCAACGTGACCTTTTATGGTATTTTAAATTCGAGTTTAGTAGTTGGTAGAAAACGGTTCCTTTCGTTGAGACCTTTAATTACAATACAAGGAGATAAAATTAATTTTTAACCCCCTCCCCCCCCCCAACTCTCAAGCTCCGTCGCTCACTGATTTCGAAAAAGAGTTGCACAGGAAAATTATAGTTTTTTATTTCGATGAAACCTTTCATTAGAATACCATGAAGGGTAGAACATGTGTTTACCCCCCCCCCCCCCCCCAATTTCCTAAAGTTTAACTTAGCATCATTACTGCAAAATTGAGACCAATTGGTTGTCGTATGTAAAAGTTATGCACGTTTTACTTTCAAAAACAGCATCTCAGGAAATAATTCGAGGGGGGGGGGGCCTTTTAGACAGCGAAATTTGATGGCCGTCTGGCACACCTTCAAGGTATAGGCTACCTACTGCACAAAATTCCAGGACTCTAGTACCATTCCCCGAGAAGTAGTTCAAAACGGTAGAAGTGGGTCCGGACGGACGGACAAAACGCAAACAATAGCATGGAAGCAGACAGAAATATTAATTACATTAATTTTAATTAAGGGTGGTCTTGACTTCATTTGTTTAGGCAACCCATTTGCAGTGTGTTAACATATCAAGATTGCTAAAAAAATGGATTTCACTTGGTAAACAGATAGGCGAAGGTTGACCTTATGTGGGATCGGGCAGACCCAACTTTTTTATTTGCGAACGGTTTTTTCTCAAACAATAAATTAAACACATTTAAAAAAATAGACTGCGCATGCGCAGACCAAAAGGCACAATATAATTATTACGCATCCACATTGTTTATTTGTGACCCAGTTCTCCTGAAATTTCAGCAGAATATACTCTTTAAGGACAAATTGGAATCACGGTAGCAAAAAGTAACTAATTTTTCGGACTGCTAATGCGGAAATGCGCTTTTTGTAAATCGATTACGATTACTTTTTAACTTGTGTAAAGTTGAGCTTGTGTAGGTACTTGGAAAAATGGGCGTATGGAGGGACCGGGTGTTTTGAAGTACCCAGGGTACCGCTACCATGGGAAATTTGAGCAAAATCTGCCGAAGGGCCCCGGCTGTTTTACTTTTGAAAACGTTTGGATGCAGCACGGTTTCTATTTGAACATTCGCGATCCCGCCTTTGATTATGTCGGTGCCGAAGATCTGACTTTGGACGACACCGAAGAAACGACAGGTAGGTATATTCGACAATCTAAATCATTTTTAAAAGTTTTACAGAGTCAGAGTACCGCGGAAATCCACGTGGAATAGTACCAATTTGGCGCGCCAGAAGTGTGGCGGCCTTCAAATCGGAACTTTTACCGCCATCGCCCGTTCCTTTGCCCTACAAAGATTCTGAGGATTCCCTCATATCCATAATGGAGTATTTAGAACAACAGTACACAATTGCGACAGGTGAAAATGAAACAGACGGTTATGTTGATGAAAATGATTTATAAGAAAAGCATTACTTATTTACATTAATTTTAGGTGAATAAAAATCATTATGATCCAGTTAACATGTTGATTAGAGCGACCTTCTCCCTTTCCTTTTTTCTTGCCACCTCGACGCACCTGTTTTTCCAGCAACTCTTCCTCAGCTTGATCGGTCTACTACCGACGTAACGTCCTGCAACAGCAAAAACAATGTTTACAAAATTCTGACGCCAACAAATCAATTAAATGCAGATAAATGATAAACATGAATTGAACCACAAATAATTACACCCACGATTAACGAGAAAAACGTCAATGCAAAATTACGATTCAAGACCGTACTTTTATCCATGTCACAATCTCGCTCGGAGTGATTCTTTTTTAAGAATTGTTTATTTGTGATAATTCTCTCTATATTTAGAATATATTTTAATACGCCTTTTTATTATTAACGTGACCGAGTGGTTATTTTAGAATATCGCTGATAACTAATCAATTTGCTTTATTGCATATTACTTAAAATAGCAACTTCTCAATTTTTTCAAAAAGGGCGAATTTAGGGCGATAGTAGCGTAGCCTTTTTGTTTAATTCGAGTTATCTTCTCGCTCAGGCTTTGTAATTTTATTTTAAGCTAGGTAAACGTCACATGAAATTATACGCTTGAGTCATTTGGATAAGTGCGATGGATTTACCACTATTTTTCTGTTGTTTTGATTGTGCAATGAACAAAAAGAAACGGCTCTAGGAAAAGGAGTTTTAGGATTGCTCTTTTTTACGTGGGTAGAATTTCAGCAGGAGTGTTTTTTTAAGATTTTTTATTTTTGCCTTTCTGTCTGTTAATTTCCGGGCGGCCCCCCTTCGGCTAGCTCGCCATTGGTTTGCCCGCGCACTGCGAGTGACAAGTTTGGGATTGAAACATAAACATACATTTGAAAGTAACATAGAAAAGGGATTTAAAAGGTTCCGATTTTAAATCTATGTATAAATGAAACTTCGTTATTTTCATTTTTGAGTCGCGCTAAGTTATTTCCATCGTATGAATTATTACAACTTGATGAGAAAAATGAATTTCCCACCCAAAAAAAATTCCAAAAATGAGAAATGTGACATGAATTCTATCAATTTTTGGAGAATTTTCTTATATTAAGTAATCGAGTACTAAAAATGATGGATCTATTCTGCTTGCAAATTACTTCAAAAACCAATTGATTTATACGAACACCCTCAATTCCCCGGCATCACCAGGAGTTATACCAAACTGAAAATATTTTAGTTGGTATAAACTATATTTACTGGGTGTCCCATTTTCAAAATTTATAGGGTATCCCGTAATTGTTAGCGCTATCAAAAAAATAATATAAGCGTCATGTGCTCTTTTTGGGTCAAACTTAAAATGGTAAAATCAAAATTTGATAATTTTCGCTCCCTTAAAAGATACAGAGCAAAATTTAAAAAAATGACTTTCTTAGTTAAGATCTACAGAAAAATGTTTTATACAAGAGTTTCTTTAAAATGATCATTTTTGGAGTTAAATAAAAAAAAAGTATGGGGCCTAACCTCATTTGTTAAATGGAAGACTCTGTATATTTTATTTAAAAAGATAAGCTGGATATTATATTCCTTTCAAAATAATAACACACCATGGATGATATTCAAAGAAGTGATGATTCAAGCGATTTAAAAAAATTCAAAAAAGATATTTGACAATTATTTCGTGTAAACATATGCAAACACAAGATACAATGTCAAATGCGAACTGTCAAAACTAATAAAAACAAGAGATTATTCAAATAAAGCCAGGACCTACTGGATCATTTTAAAAATTTTTCTTTCATTTACCTAACTACCGAAAATTAAAGTTAAAAGAGTTAAAACTTTATGTGCAAAAATATCGAGAATGGAGTGTTGCACGAGCAATTCTCAGATAAACAAGACTATTAATCATCGCTTATTCGATGTTTAACTTTCTCGATAACGGTAGCAAACATCAAAAAATTACAAGAGATCAAAAAGTTTCCAAACAAATCACAAAATCAAATTCTTATTTTACAATTTACCAGTAGCGCACCGAAAAAAAAAAGGTCAGGGGTAGAAAATGGGACTTGACCAACGATATAAGCCCTTCAGCGTAACATATATTTCAAATGTGAGCAAAATATCTCAAAACTGCAGGAAGATAGAAGAAACAGGCTTAAAAAATTGAATTATTAACACAGGCAATGAAGCATTTGTGTTTATATGAACTTTTAGTCCTAAAATAAGTCAAAAAGTTAACCCCTTCCGTATTTGCACCTTGTATATCGAAAAGGAAAGTTCAGAACATTTTGAAAATTTGGCAATATACTAATTTATTTATTTATTTATTATCCCTCTCTTGTTCTGGGCCCTCAACAGGCTTGCGCCCAATTACAAAGCGACCCGCATAATGCTTTTCAAAATTTAATGTTAATAAGCAAATTAAAGTTGAAGTCAATATGCTCATTTTGAATGTAACACCCTATATATTATTTCATTTTTAGACTCGACATACATACATTCTATATACATTTCATGTAGAAAGTCGTATAGAGATCGTTTCAAAGCTAAAGGATGATGATGATGATTTTTTGTGCCTAATTCAATTTCAATTTAAAAAAAAGATTTTAACAATTCAATTTTGATTCTTTTGAACACAGTCCATTAAAAAAATCTTCTCCAAAAGGAAACCAGTCCCCAAGCTCTCATATAAAAAAAAATTGACAAATACAATGTGGGCTACAAACGTCACTTTTGACATAAAAATTACAAAATGTCAAAAACAGCTAAATTTAGTTATAGGACATTATACATGACATGCCTGTAGCGTTTTAGTAGAATCTAAAAATGAAATAATATATAGGGAGTTCCATTTAAAATAAGGAAGTTGTCAGAAAACATTTCAAATGAATAGTTAAATTTTCAAAATATTCCGAGGTCTGCTTTTTGAGATAAAGATAGCCGGCATTTGTCATGGGAGACTGTATAGTGATTTCCCCATATGTATTAAGTGACCGACAATTTTGATAGATTCAATTAACCCAAGAAGAGCACATGACGTCTATATTAAAGACAACCCTCTAAAAATTGTCGAAACTGGAGCACCCTGTGCACCTTTCAGATGTAACAACCGTTATTGGACAACCTCTACATTAATTCCAAAATGTCTTCTTGACAACTTTAAACTCTTAAGAAATTCTGGGTTTTAAATAATAATAATAACACATCTTTATTTGGCGAGGTTCAGCCTCCAACTGTTCTTCCATTTAACCATCAAATTCTCATACATGCATTTGAAAGACAAATGCGCGGTTTCACAAACGATGATTAAGGTTGATCAATGATTATAAATATTAGAATGTTAGCCACCTTTGATTATACGCTCATTTGTTTCCCATTCAATATTTTTAATCAGTGATTAATCATCGTTTGTGAAACCGGGCAAGAGAAATTCTTATAATATGAACATTAAAAAACAAATTAGAAAAATGACAATTATAAATTACAGATGCAAATTACTTCCCAAAAAATTTTGGTAATATCTCTGACAGTCTCTATGCTCCAAATGTCGAGATGGCAACAATTTGCGGCTTATAATATTTACAATTTGTTTACAAATTTCTTTAAAATGTAAGTCTTCCAACTTCCTTTGAAGTTTGTTTTCAGAATTGGGACCTTTTTTGTACCTTTCAACCTTCTAATTTTTTTTAAACTAAAACTGTGAATGTGCGTCAAAGTACCTTATAAATAATGATCAAAACCACAGCATGAACTAAATATCCATCTTACCATCCTTTTTTTAATTTGAATTTATTCCTTGTGCGGTCGGTCGTTATATGACAAATTCTGATAAACAATCACAGAATGTGATTTATGTGGAAAACAATAATAAATTGTTTTCAAGCATATTTTCCTTCCTAAATCCTCTGCTCCTTGATCAAAAACCTTGAAATAGACAATCTGAACTTGATACAAAATATTCCCATCCACTATCAACAAGTTAAACAGATAGCAAACGGGTTCTCAGGCAAAAAATTCAAGACACACTTTCAGCCCTATCAAACGAGTCACTTCACTTCCGTTTTGCCTTTTTGCCTTGGATCAGAAACCGTAGAAGAAATAGAACTGAATTCCAATGAATTGCAAGAGTCGAAATTACAAATTGTTGGTTCCATACTAAATAAACGCCTTACGTTGCACGAAGTTAACAGATTCAAAGCGGTGTACAATTCCAGAAATAACTGGAAGATTTATTTTCTAAATTACACAAGCTCAAAATATTGTATTTTACAACACGTCTGTCCAATCAAAAACAAATAGGCGTGATTTATTAAGATACAGCCCTTTCAAAACCTCACGCAAAAGTCCAACGTGCAGAAGATTCTTTTATTATATCATTACAGCTACGAAGCAGTCACACGAATTCGGTGCTCCCGCAAAACTTCTCCACTTCGAAACAGGTTAGCAACACAATATCACGTAATTATTACAATTATATCTTTTGTTCCTTGACACGTGTTCCAAAGAGGAATTATCGTAATAAAAATAACTTTTTTAGCTGGCGCCAATAAAATAATAAATTTTTTATCAATGCAATTACATCACAAATATTGTGGAGGGTGTCACTTTTTACAAGATTGTGGAAACACGTCTAGTTCAAAATTCATAGATTATAAAGTCGTAAATCGTGCTCAATTTAATTCTGGATAAATTTCGAAATTAAACCGCCGAATTGACGTAAATTCGTATCATTGACAATTATTTGTTACAGGATGTTGCTCGAAACAGTGGTAGCACTTCTGCAAATATTCCTACAAATTGCTGCACATCCACAACATTTGAATACGAACACAATAATTCCAAAAAATGATACGGCAGGACGATCTTGGAGTACTGGAGGAATGCCCTTCAGCGTGCTTTACATGAACTCGCAATCGCTCAAGTACGCACCGGCGGACATCTCCCACGTACCACCACCTGTGTACCTCAGACGTCGGGAGCTTCCAAAAATTCACAAAAACAAACGACGCTACCCCACATTACCTCATCTATTTGCGACGTACGAACGAAAACAATTTAAACAATGACCTACCGTTCATTTCTTTCATCGCCTTTGTAAAATCGGCTGGATCTTTAAAGCTAATAAAACCGTAACCTTTAGTTTTATTAGTGCGTTTATCGCGAACCACCCGTGCCTTGAGAAAGGAGGGATATTTATTGAAGGTGCGCGTGAGCAGTTCGTCCGTAACGTCGTTGCCGAGGTCGCCGCAGAAAATCCGAAAATCGTCCTCGCACCAATCGCTCAGTGTCACGTCCTCCCATACGGAACCGCCGGCTGTTCGTAACAGCTTCTTGTTCTTGCCTCGACGGCGATAGTCATCCGGGCCAAATGATTGTAATGCGCTACTGGCTTTTCCTGTAAGTTTCGATTGAAATCTACGTGCGATCAATGTGGACTGTTACCTTGGGATATGGCGAGCTCCGCAGGAACGGTTACCTTCTCTTTAAGTTTTTTCAACTTTTTTTCTACTTCATTTTGAAGAGCTAAAAAGTCGACTGTTTGGGAGGAAACAGCCTGTTGCTGTACGTTTTGCTTAGGAGTGTATAAGGTGGGTTTGGCAGAAACGACAGCTAGCTTAGAAACATTAGAAGAAATGTTAAACTTTACTTGTTTACCTTTCACTTGGTGGGGTACCATGTTTGGTGGTGTAGGGGGTGGTGGTACACTTCCAAAATTTGGTAAAGTGAACGGGTTATATGGGTTTGAACCTGGAGGATTTCCAGAAATTTCCGCTTCAAAGCTACAACATTGTAAGTCATTTTTCAGGTTATATTTCAACGTGTGCCTACGTTACCGGTTCATTTCATCCTCCATTTGTCTAAATTTATCCCCCATGATTATAAATTAAAGGAATTATGAAAGTGTAAATATTATTTTATAAAATAGGAAGTAGAAAACAACAGTGCGATCTGTCAAGTTTACTAGTTCAAGCTGGGCTGCCAACAATGTGAAATTGTTTGTTATATTTTGTTTATCGTAGTGGTAACTCTGAAAGTAACAACCAATCGCCATTGACGTATGTACAGGGTGTCCTTCCAAGCCTTGCTTCAGGATTCAGACCAACCATTATTTCATGCTATTGACTACGGTTACGCCGTAAATTTAGATCGGATGTGGGGAATCCACTACGCCTACGTTAAAACCTACTCATTTTGTGGGCGTATATGCCATGGTAATCTCAAGCGGATACGTTGAAATTACTCTTCAATCCATAAAATGTTTAAAGTAGAATTTGCTTACTATCTGAACTTTCCTAGACCGGGGTTTAGACATCATTTTACGACTTTCATTTACAATTAATAACAATAAGTAATTGCGAATTTTGACGTCTAAAAATTTTTCCAAATTCCAAAATAACATTGCCTGATACTTTAACTCGGCTACGCCTTTTCAAAATACCTTCAGTCTCAATGCGCGAAATTGAATTTCGTGCATTTGTTATATAAATAACTATTGCGAGCCCCAATAAAGTGGTGGACCTAACCAAATAAAGCTTCAGTATGTACATGTAATAATGCTCTGTAAATTGTTCACATAATAATTCCCACGCTATTGAGAAATTGTCATTTGTAACTTCAATATGGGCTATACTTTCAAAAGCTTCACCCTGTAAGGCTCTCTTCAAATAATGAAAACCTTGAACATTACTAATACGACTATTATTATTAATTAAGCTGTCAAATGAATCCCTAAATTGTGACCAGTCACTTATTGACTCTCCTAAAAATGTTGGTAAATTTATTGTAGGCAACTTAAACTTCCGAGTACTGATTAAAGTTTTGATTATTATTTGAGTGAGCTTGCCTCATTTTCTGCATAATTGCCTTCTGTAATTATGGATTATTGAGTAATAAATCCGGCTCGAAGGACCATATGTTTAAGCTAAATGCTTTGAAATATTCTGTATTTACTTGAAACTGAAAGCTTGAATTATTTTTAGACAGTTTTTATAATTTTTTACAAGATGACGTTTTTACATTAGATTGTTTTTCTAAGATTTTTCCAAAAACGATTGTCTTACGAATCTGTTTCGTTTTCGTTGTGCCACTCTGTATATGTATGCATTTTTCATCCCTATACCCCTATAGAACTTTTTTATTATTAATATTAATGTGTCAGTTTTGGCAGGGTAAAGTGTTGGGAAGTAGGAAAAGTAGTTAGGTAAAGTGATACTGTTACTGTCATGAAAAATAAAATGTCCTGATATAAAGCAGGCATAAAAAGGAAGGTTTCAGGACGATTTCGGAAAAAATAAATTATTAATATAATTATGACAATTATTGTCGGTAATTGATCAAATATGACCTAATTCTTATAGTGCCCCATTAGTGCGTGGATGGAAGATTGTGGGTTTATTAACGCAGATATTTAAAATTCATTATCGGGCCATGTTCAATCTACAACTTAAAAAATTTCTCGGGAAAAAACTTTTTCTTATTAATTTTGGTGCGTAGAATCCAAAACGATTCGTACTTTTCGATTAGACGTCTCAATCAAAAGTTATGGGCAAAAAAGCAATTCAAAGGGCTGTAACTTTTGATCTAGTAGCCCGATCTTGGAACTATTTGAAATTATGGATTCTACAGGCCACATTCTATAAGAAAATATTTTTTTCCGGTCGATCTGAGACAATTTTTTGTTCGAGCCCAAAAAAAAGGCAGTGTGTATAACCTTCCTTTTTTACCAAAAATCGACTACACCAAAATTTCTTGGGAAAAAAACTTTTCCTTATTAATTTTGATGCGTAGAATCCAAAACGATTCGTACTTTTTCGATTAGACGTCTCAATCAAAAGTTATGGGCAAAAAAGCAATTCAAAGGGCTGTAACTTTTGATCTAGTAGCCCGATCTTGGAACTGTTTGAAATTATGGATTCTACAGGCCACATTCTATAAGAAAATGTTTTTTTCCGGTCGATCTGAGACAATTTTTTGTTCGAGCCCAAAAAAAAGGCAGTGTATAACCTTCCTTTTTTACCCAAAATCGACTGCACCAAAATTTCTCGGGAAAAAACTTTTCCTTATTAATTTTGATGCGTAGAATCCAAAACGATTCGTACTTTTTCGATTAGACGTCTCAATCAAAAGTTATGGGTAATTGTTATACAGGGCGGTTTATATCAAAGTTGCAGTAATTTTTAAATAGAACCCCCTGTATACAATGAATATCGCAGTTATCATAAAACTTAGAAGACCGTGACAAAATTAACTTTTTTGTGTAAAAAGAAGACACTTCGTCTGCAGTTTCCAAAATTTCAATCGAAGGTAACTTGATTTTTTTTCATGGAAAACGGGAAACAGCGAATCCTGTGATACATAAATAAAATTCATATGGTTATGACAGCAATTGTTGAAAATTGACACACAAGTGACCGTCATTTGGGTTGGGTACTAACCTCGATATTTACCGCAAAGAATTTTTTTTTTAATTTTTCAAAACCCACCTATAGCAGAAAAAGTTAATTATTTAGTGAATATCAAAGTGTGTGTGTAAGTTTTTTATGTCATTGTGTCACGCATTTTTGTAATTTATATTTATTCCTGTTGTATTAATAATTTAATATAAATGTTATTATCGGAGTTGCTTCTTCACTGATTTCCACATTAAACCTAACAATGCATGAGGTTCCATTTAAAAAATTGTATCTTTGATATGAATCACGCTGTATATGGGTTTCGATTGTAGTGAAAATATTGTAGGTCAGTAGCCGAACTTAAAAAATGTACGTTAATAAGCCCACGAGCACGTCTATATACAGAGTGGTTAGAAAGTAGCGGGACTTTTTTTGAAAAATGACAAAGAAATTTAAATAATCCATATTGTCATTTAAAAAATTCAAGATGAAGTCCGTTATAACAAACGCGTAGGCTATACATATAGCAATTAGGAGCTGATAGGCTAGAATATTAAACTCGTCTGCCATATTGGATTACTAACAACCACCGACAATCGATGTTTGAAGAATGTTCCATGTTCTGCATGTATTGTATTATTATTTAAAGAAAAATCATTGACTTTTTCAACGTTTAATAATGTATGAACTATAAAGATAAGACCTTGCACCTTAAAACACTTTTTTGTACACAGATTTGGATTGTCAGTGGGCTCCAAAGTGGCTGACGAGTCTGCTATCTTAATCAATGTATAATATATTGTAGTATGGGCTTGTTTAAACTGTATTACAGGCGCGATATTAGAACAATGGATTTTTGTATTGTTTGTTTGTCAAGTTAAAATGCCTCTGGCGTAAATAAATAATTATTAGTACCTATACGGCCTTGTGTAGGCGTATTCTGTTCAGTAGTGAATCTTTTGACACACAGCTCGTATTCGGAAACCAGACTTTTGACCCGGCTCATATTCAATAGCACTGATCTTTGAACTCGTAGAAATCGATTGGAGAAGGGTTGACATCGTTCTTGAGCCAGACGAAGAACAGACGGACGGGCAAAATTTATTTATGTTGTTTGTCATTGTTACTGACATGTCCTATACATTTTTATATGTCCATGGGAAATAAAAAAATATTATTATTATTATTAAACCAAAGGGATTTTTTCGAAAGAAAAAAATTCCCCTAAAAATGCTCACACATTGACACATAACATAACCTCCTTTCATTTGAAATGTGAACATTGCGATTATAGAATAAGTATTAAATCAAGTTCCTACAAAGGTGTTTTTAAATTTAAATTAGCACTTCGCTCTCTGGGGCAACCTTTAAAGTGTGGTTAAGGACTAACAGTACAGCAAATTATGTATAGTGATAATGAAAAACGAAAAGTGGGATTAACCTGTTTGTTAAAGGCTAGAAACTATGCCCGGATAAAAGATTGGGCTCGCGCCTTTCCCCATTACCTAATGTGTTTAGAACTATTTCCGAACGATCGTAGAAACCTCGAGGACGAATTCACCGATGTCCTTTATCAGCTCGGCATTTGGTTAGAATCTAACAATAAATTAACGGATATTTGCAAATGGTACATCACGGGATTGCAGTATTTTCCGACAAACGCAAACTTATTAAATCACTTCGCCGAACACCTGCTTCGAATCGAAGAACCACAAACCGCCTTAACCTATCTAGAAACGGCACACAGGTTAGACCCCACGTCACTAGTTATCGACCGGAATTTAACGGCGGCAAAATTAAACACAGTTCCACGTTGGCACTATCGAATGTTAAACGATTGTAAACGTAATGAAGCTTTTAAAGTGGCCATCTCAAAGGCGTTATCATCAGGGTGTGGAAAAGTTCTGGATATCGGCACGGGATGTGGCCTGTTAAGTTTCTACGCCTCACAATTTTCAACTACCGGTATTACCGCCATCGAATCCTCAAATGCTCTAGCGAACATTGCAAAATCAAGTCTGCCACAAGTTAATGTCGTTACCAAACATTCCACTTCACTGCATAGTACCGATATAGGCTTACACAACGTTTTAATTACCGAAATATTTGATGCCGCTCTATTTGGAGAGCACGCTTTAGAAACTATAATTCATGCTTGGGATAACTTATTAGACGCCTCCTCTACCGTAATTCCCCACTCCGCTGATCTGTTCGTTACCGGTTTTAGTAGTTCAGATTTGTTAAAGCGGCACAGGTTGTGTTCAGATCCCCGACTGGGATTAAGTAATGTGTGTGTCACTCAACGACTTAAAGAACCTTACGAAGCTGATAATTTAAAACGGCGACCTGTTAGTTACATCACAAACACTTACAAAGCTTGCACGGTGTCGTTTAACGATGTTACACAATTAAAGGACATTTATAGTAATGTGGATGCGATAGCAAACTTCTCATTGCACTGTGTCAATAGTGGAAGTATTGATGGTTTTGCAATTTGGTTTAATTTGTATTTGGACGAAGAGAAAACTAATGTTATAACCACCGATCCTCGTGAAAACAATGTGAACTGTTGGGAACAAGCTATGATTTATCTTGATCATCCGATTGCAGTCGACCAAAATGACGAGATAACTGTGAAGTTATCCTGCATTAAGAATGAACTAAAGCTTACTGTTCTGCAACCGGTATCCACATGCTCTCATTGTTTTAAAGTGTCCGGGGAGATTATTACGTACCTTAATGATACTAGTCTGATAAATATTTGCGAAAATGTTCACTTGCCACAACTGTCAAAAACCGATATAAAGGTACTGGATTTAAATCCATTTCCGCTGTTCGCCTTGTTTCTAGCAAGACGTAATTCGAATGTAACGCTAAAGTGTCTGGTCAAGGATGTGCAAGACTTCGAATTCATTAACTTTGTGTTTAAGTGTAACGGCGTGGATACCTTCGAGATGTGCCAAGAAGTGGAAATTGACAGCAGCAGCGATTTAATCTTTATAAATCCACTCTTAACGAATGGAACTTTGGACGAAAGCGTCTTTCTACAGTTAACCCGACCGGATTGTGTAAATCTATTCCCGAAGCGTTTGTATTTGCACATTGAAGTAGTCGAATCGGAGTATTTACATAATTGCTGTAGAGTTGACGATCGTAACTTATTTGGACATAAGGCTGCCGATCTAATGAATGAGTATTCGGTGAGTGTGGATTCTAATCGAAGGTATTTAACTGAGCGATTTCAGGTATATGAACACTGGGAAATTGAACCGAAATATTTCAGTTATAAAAGCATAGGCAGCATTAACCTTAGTGCAGATTTACTCCACAATGATATATCGACTAAAGTCCCTGTGACTGTTGTCACGGGCCGTACAGCTAATGGAGTCCTGTACTGGTTTACCATGGACTACATAACTCATTCCTTTACCACTTATAACAGTCTGCATTATAATAACGCTTGCTTTATATTTAGTCAGCCTAAGTATCTTACTGATCAAGTACTGCAGCTTACTGTTAGAAAGGAAAATTCTTTATTGCATGTGGGCTATACTGACACGTGAGAATGGCGGTGAGGCTGTAGTAAAGAGGCCACGCCCATCAGTATGAGTCATGTCTCAGAGACTCGGATGACTGTACAAATAGATCTGAAAGTTAAATTAAATTAAATTATTTATAATGAAATAACCAATAAGGGATTATTATTTAATAATGAAATGTACATTATGTTTGCCATTTCTGTTGTGTATATATTTCCAGAACTAAAATGACCTACACCAAAACAAACGAAACAAGACTATGTATGACACGCTGGTATATCGTTAAGTAATGCATTATTAAATACAATGACACAATTCTATTTCACATTTAGTTTTGTTTAATGTTATCCCCTCCTCCCTGCATGAAGTTTCTCTAGTTTCCTAATATCATGCTCAGTCGCTGAAGGAACTTGTATCAAACATATGACATACTCATGGCTGGATCTACATATTTTGCACTTATGAGCCCCTCGAAATCGCCGCCTTCTCCCCCCCCCCTCCTCTTATACCCCAACCAAAATTTGTTTCTAGAAATATGCAATGTTTATTCTTTACAAAAAAGTGTTCATTCGGTTTTCTTTCTCCTCAGATTGATTTAATTTGTAGTAAGAATTATTTCCCAAATTTGGTTTTTTGCCGCTATGGGCCCGGGCCTACATGGCCCCATGCTAAATCCGGCCCTGCCTGCCATAAAACTAATAGCGTTTTCGATTGGCAACACTCGTGCTGCACGAGTGCAATTTTTACGTTCTATTGGTAATTTTAGGTCAATTTTCTGTGTTCCATTGGCAAATGTGATGCAACAATTACGCACTCAGTGCAAATTTCGACGCACGAGGTCCGAGAGCTCGTGGAGCTGCTATAATAGGTAACAAATTTTCAAAATAAACGTACGACAATTTGAATTTGTTTCTTGCGTTGGAGAGTTTTTTGTCGTCATCTAGCGATAGCGAAGATAATGAACTAGCCATAACTTCTACTTTACAGAAAGTTGCACTTAGTCATTGAACTGAACGCCAAAAATTGGTCCTTTACAGGAATTTCAAATTTATGTTCCTCATCGTTTATCATAAATAATACTAAAATCGTTTCAGTTATTTTTTATAATAGAGATTTGTCGATTATTTAAATCTAAAATCAGATTATGGACAAATGACAACAAATATTTACAAATACTTATGTTCCATTGAGAGCAATTTTCACATGGATTTCTTCAGTTTCTCGTGCAGCACGAGTTTTGCCAATCGAAAACGCTATTAAATTCCATTTAAAATCTTCGAAAATTGAGTAGCAAAATACTCGTGGTAAATTTAAAGAAAAACTTCAACAGGTTGTATAAACATTTAATTTCTGCAACCAATCTAATTCAGTCTGCAACTTGAGTAACATTAAAGGAATGGCAACTTCTCGCGGTAGCAATTGCACGAATGGCTCAACATATTTAGCTTGAATCTCATTAAATGTACATGGATTCTGTTTTTCTATTATTTCTTTTGACAATAAGGTAGGGGTACCGTAAAGTGAGACGACTTCGGACAACGCGTGTGGCAGAGACCTACAACCGTTTTCTAGTAATCAATTATCATAAGGTACCGTCTGCATCCGCCATTTTTTTTCTTAAAGTCAAAATAACTTAAAAACCATAAATGGCAGATATCGACATATGGGTATCAAAAGGATTGAAATTTCACGTAGAATCCAAAAATGCAATAAAAAATAGGGGTTGCCATTTAAAACAACGAAGTTACTATCTACTTCCGGTGTTTCCGGAAGTGCGGCCATTTTGAAAATATTTTACATCGATTCGGCCTTCAGAGTAACTCCTAAGTTCAAATGTTCAAAAACCTACCTATTTTACTTTCCCAGAAACGTTTAACTAAAGCTCCCAAAAAAACACCCTGTATATACTATTTTTTTCAAGTGCTAGTCACTTGAAGTCCTCTAAATTAACATATTATCACAGATTATTTAAATCTGTGATATTATATTGATAAGAAAGTGAACGGTTGGACAGAATTTTTTGTTTATTAATTTAACATGTCAATCAAGTACGTGGAAGTACAAGTCAAACAGGCCGTATTTTGTTCTGTCATTGAGATATTTTCAAAGAGTAATTTCGTGGGAATTTTCTTCAAAATGTATTAATTTTAGGTATGTAATTTCTCTGGAAATGGCGGATGGTGGCAATTATTCATTTTAGAGAACTTGTCTAAACGTTTATTAAGCGAAATTTCGGGTTGTGTTTTCTAAAAGTGACAGTGACAGTTCTCTTTATTGACTACTAGTTAATAATGTCCACATTATTAACCACTTTGAACAATTGCTGAGAAAGCCTACTTTACAAATGGAAACAAGTTAAAAAGTAATCGTAAACGATTTACATAAAGCGCATTTCCACTTGCATTCATTTCCCATTTGTAAGATGCAACTTCTGTTAAAATCGTAAAAATCTGGCCACAAATATAAAAGATAGCGTTGCACATGGGCAATCCATTTTTGACGTGCTACTTCAATTTCAGTTTATGAGAAGAATTTCATTTCAATGCTTTTCTAAATAAGAAAGTTGGAACTGTGCATGCACAAACCTAAATTTTAAAATTAATGTTAGATTTTCCTTTGTTCCAAGCGTAGTTCCATAGATAAAAAAGTTGGCACTGCGCTTGCGCAAAATAAAATTTTGAAACTGGCGCTAGATTTTCCTTTATTCCAAGTGCCTATGTATCACATTTCATTTAAATTCTTCCATAAATAAAAAAAGTTGGCACTGCGCATGCGCAAAACCAAATTTTGAAATTGGCGTTTGATTTTCCTTTATCCCAAGTGCCTATGGATAAATTTCGTTTAAATTCTTCCATAAATAAAAAAGTTGGCACTGCGCATGCGCAAAACCAAATTTTGAAATTGGCGTTTGATTTTCCTTTATTCCAAGTGCCTATGTGTATCAAATTTCATTCAAATACTTTTATAAGTAAAAAAGTTTGCAATTCGGTTTATAAATGGTCGAGATGCGAAAAGGGCACTGTGAATTTTGAATCGATTCGATTCAACTTTTGGCATTGCGTATTATATGGCTAAAGCTATGCCCATATTGAATTTCATGCAATTCAGTTCATAACTAACGGAGATGTAAAAGCGATCGGACATTTCTAAACAAAGTTATCGTTCACACGGACAGATAGATGGACAGACAGACAAAGGAACAGACGGGCAGACCAACCGGCAGGCGACAGATAGCAATGCAAAATTATAAACGATCTCTAGGATCGTTAATAAACGGCAAAAGTGTAAAATTATGGAACATGTAAAAAACGGTTTTTTGTTTTTTTTACAATAACTTTTTTTGTAAGCGGTACAGAAAAAATTCCTTCCTTGGTACAAGACTCGACACCATAACGAACCAAAAAGCGAAAAAAGTAGAACAATAGCTCTTAAGATAAAGAACTAGTAGCGTCGCAAAACGAGCGGACGGACGGACAAAGTGGCCACAATAGCGCATTTTTTTTTATTTTTGTGGAAAAGCGCTAAAAAGGTTAATAATCATGTCATCCAGACGCTATAGTAGTGAAAAATAGTTATTTATATAACAAGAGCGCGAAGTTCAATTTCGCGCATTGAGACTGAAGGTATTTTGACGAGGCGAAGCCGAGTCAAAATATCAGTCAAATGCGCGAAATAACTTCGCGCTAGCGTTATATACAATATTTTTTCTACAACTGAACCGATTGTTAATTAAATTTGCTGTTTAAGTTCAACTTTGTCACGTGCGCGAAATACTTTTTTTCACTGTTGACGATTTCGCGCACGTTGTCAATAGCAACCTTACTTATTAATTAACCGTTTAAAAATCTAGTACTTCGCGTTTCGAAATCCGTCAGAAAATGACAGGTTTTTTTGACAGTTGTAGAAAAAGAATATTTATTGAAGTGAATTTCGCTTGCATGACATGGCATCAAGTAGGCGTAAACAACATTGCTATAAACAAAAACTGGATGCAAGCGAAATTCAGTTCAATTAATATTATATGACGTAAGCAATACGATCTAGAATAGATTAACCGTTTCGGAACGGTACTTTGTTCATTCTTATTCTGCACGTCAACAATAGCGCGTTGCAGTTTGTTTGAGAGAATTGTTTATGTTTAAGCGACGACGTGAGGTAAAAAAGTTAACGCTGCAGTTAGTGGAGATAATTACATATCGAAACAGTAATAACAAATGGACTATAGGCGATAACCTTTCGAGATGTATCACCTTAGTTGTAATACAGGACTGTATCAGTATAAGATTCACATTCCTTCCCCCCAGTGTAGCCCATTTATGCTAGAACCGTCAGATGTGGCTTATTTTGCGCCTTTGAAGAAACATAGTTGATCTATACTCGCAGAATGGAAAATGAGAAGAAAAGGGCCAATCCAAAAATCGGATTTTCCTCGACTTTTACGACAAACCTGGACGGTACATCATAGAAGAAAATTATGTCACGCTTTACAAGCATGCGGAATCTTCCCATTCAATCCAGAAGCCGTTTAAAAAAAAAAGACTCAAAGAAAAGACATGGGACTTTTAGCATCTACACCATCCATAGGAAGCTATGTGTCTAAGACACTATATTACATTTTTTATGAAAACCAAGAACCCCAGAGATTCATCCTAAAACCAGAAGAAAGTGAATAAACGTTAAACCCAGCCGTTTTCTCAGATCGATAAAAAAACCAGAACAGGACCACAAAGAAACAATTGAAGTAGGCATATATGGATCAAAATGATTAATCAGATTTAGATCTATTAAAATCACACTTGACGAAAAAATCTAAAGACTTATAACATTTCATGCAGCGATTCAGGGGATAAAATTCCCTTGTTGTCTCTGAAGAAAAAAAATAACTCAAAAGACTCATACTGTGAAAATTTAGTTCCTAAAGTGGGGTTGTGATTGGGCAGCAAAAAAATTTTAAAAAAATAAAAATGTTGAGAAGAGATAGAAAATGCACTTAAAATATTATATACATTTTTTTTATACGAGGTACTGTTTTATAGTACTATGCGATCAAAAATGAGTTGCTGTCGAGTTAGCTTTGAAATTTTTGTTTACATGAGAAATCGTACTTAATTTGAACATCCAAAGGCGACTCGACAGCAACTCATTTTTGATCGCCCGTTATCTGCACTATGAGAAAAACTTAAAAGGTACAGTACCTAATAGACTACTCGAAATGTCTGTATAGTAGATTGTACAGGGTGGTCTAAATTGTCCTCAGAGACTTTCTTATAGAAGCACCCTTTTACTCATAGAAAAAAATTGACCTAGATGTCTGAGCTCAATTTTAAAGAGAAAATCACAATCACTAACAGAATTCAGCTATCTCTAATCGTTTAGGCACTAGGGGGCGTTTCTCGAATTTAGTCGATTTGTTTAACGCCCCATAACAACCTTATAATTAAAGATAATTGATTTTGGCAAAATCTTTCTTAGAGCACTTTTTATATAAAATCCATCTGGATACATAGTTGTTTGGCGTTTGGTTTTGTGTATAGCCCTTTAACTTCATTTTTTCATACGGACCACCCTATGTATTTTAAAATTTTTGAAAAGGGAGTAAAATTTCTTAAATTCACTCGTTATATTTATATTAAATATTATTTGCCATACTGCATTTTATACATATAGCATCGATCAATCGAGTATCTGCTTTTGGTGATTGTGGATAATTTGCGCCCGGACAATTGACACCCGAAGAGCAATGCGCTCCTGGAAAATTCGCTCACGGAAAAAATTGGTCTCCGGTAGGGAAATTGCAGTCTCGGATTCTTTGGAAGCGAATTTTCCGGGCGCGAATTGTTCAGTCGTCGTAACCGTAAAAAAAATGTAGAAGAATGTAGAACTTTGGATCGAATTTTAAGGGAATTTTATTCTTTCGAAAAATTGATGTGTTTTGTCCGTCTGTTCTTCATCTAACTTGAGAACAACAAGAGGCAGCGATTTCAAACCTTCGCCAATCGATTTCTACGAGTTCAAGGATGAGCGCTATTGAATATGAGCCGGATCAAAAGTCTGGTTTTCGATTGGCATTTGTTTTTTTTGAACTAGCCGTCGCACAGTGGGGTATTTGAATTAATTAGCTGGCCAAAATGTCAATTTGCCAAAGTTAAAAAATTCACGCAAAATTAGTTCCGATGCAAAGCCAAGGTGTCCACGAACTATATATAGTTTTGTCGCTAAGGGTGCGACCGGTTTTTTGCCAGTGCCATTCCAAAGTTGGCCTTTGAATGAACATTTTTTCAAAATTCCAAGAGCACGCGTCAAGAGAATTTCAATTTTTTATTACTAATTTTATTACAAGTTTTCTGATGTTGTGTGCTATGGGCAATAATGTGCCAGGTAAGTCGTCATTATTTCTGAAGTTACATCGATCAAAATTCCGATATTTTTTTCTTATGTCATCAATCAAAGTTGCCTATTGTTTCTTAAAAAAGGGAATTGTTGGCACTAAAGTGGAGACATTAAGTATATGTTCCGATCTCGATCCGGTTGATTGAAATATGTTTTAAGCAAGCTAACACTATGCTCTTTTAGTATTTAAAAAAAAACTTTGCGCGTTTTTGAGAAATCGGCACCCAAACTTTCATGTGATAATGGTGTGGATTATTCACATTGTCATACTTTTAAATGCATGTGGTATACTTCAGCCCTGGTTTGCACATCAGAATGAACATTTTACTCGGTAAAAATGTTATATTTTCGCATAACAATATCTAAAGGTGAAAATAGTTTCTAACTTTAGGACCTTCTATCAACAAAAAAGCAACAAAAGCCTTAACATGTGTATTTTTGATCTTAAAGTAGAGGAACACAGTAGCAGCTGCAGCAGTTCCTCATATGAATCACAATATTCATCTGAATAATTATTATCATGGTAGTCCAAGACAGTGCATGTATTTTAGCAAAGTAGTCCAGTGGTTCCCAACCTTTTAGACACCACGACTTTTTAGGTTGAGTATTTTGCCGATTTGTAATTTTTTAAATCGCAAAGTTTAACTTATTAATAAACTTTATTACAGACCACATTAGATAAGACAAGTAATAAATTCAGTGAATTTTACAGTCAATTGTTTTATAAAAAGAATAATTGTTTTTAATTTTTCCCCTCGGACACATTCTGCGATCCCGTTGCGACCCACTGGTTGAGAACCACTGATCGTAACCTACAACATTTTCCCCATGAATTTCCTATTATCCCATATCTTATTTTTTTGTCATACTTCTCATTCATACCTTAGCACGGGCTGAATTTGGTACATATACAAGCAAGATATACAATTTTGCTATTTCCGGCCACCATCTTGGAGTTAAAATTTTTTTTTGTTATTTTCATTGTATGAAAAAGATATTCTGCGACTTTTATTGAAATCAGTCAATATTTTGAATTTTGGCCAGCTAATTAATTCAAATACCCCACAGTGCGTCGGTCAAATTATTTTTTAGAAAAAAATTAATTTCAAATAAACCGATTACTACATTAAGGCTATTTTTGTACTAATTATACTCATACAAAATATTTTCACTTGATATACTGGAATTAAGAATGTGTTCGCGCTTCCAAACTATTGCGCTTTTCAAACCATCATCCGCGGCAAATTTATGTTGGGTCATTTTGCATTTAGGGCCTTCTTCGAGCGTTCAATCCTTCCGTCACACTCATCATTAATTGTGGTCGCCTTTTTGCCATGTATTCAATAAGCAAAATGCCGCCATCAATTTTCCAGACAAAGGCTGGCTTTTTGCCTTTTTTTGGAGGCGGAGAGAGTCGCCTGTGACAATCCGGTCGAATACGTAACTAGTGCGCCAGTTAGGTTGCATAACTGTCAGGCATATCAATGCATTAACATGTATATTTTAGAATTCAAGATAGGGCATAAGTAATAATTTTCCAGCGAAAAATTTCATTACGAAACTTCGTTTTATCGATATTTAGGGAATTAGAGGAGGCAGCTGGAGCCCATTGCCTTTAACTCACCACTGCCTGCCTATAGTTCCAAGGCCAAGTCATACAATAAGTACCTACATTTACCTTAGAAAAAACCAAAGAATTTCTACAAATTTTATTTCCCAAATACTGTTTTTAATTAAAAATAAAAATTCTGAACTACCCACCAACCGTAAGTTGTAATGTGGATAAAACAAATTCAAATTAAACTACAAAATGTAGGTTAATTTTCAAAATACCCCCCTTCCTGCCCAAAAACTATAGTACTACTATGTTAAAAACTAATAAACTAATTTTGTTACAATTTGCTAGCTATACTTGTTAAAAATGTTGACACTAGAGGTGCCACAATTTCCGGAGTATTATTATGTACATCGTGACTGCCATGCACCTGGACTATAGAAATATTTTTGCATTTCTGGTACTCATTTACAACACTCTTTAGAACATAATATTGAAAATCGGAATCGGAACAATATATAATTAATACGGGACAAACTAGCGGATACTTATTTACAATTTCTCCCAAATATTCGAAAGAAGTCATTAGATTGGTAAAGTACCTCATCCTGGGATCCACAGCAAAACTGTACAGGCCATTTCCTTGATCTACTAATCCCCGATTTGCGATAGGTTCAGCAGCCTCTTTGGACAAAACCATACCAGCAAATCTACCGTCGATCATTTTATTTATGGCATCGTTGTACGTGAAATATGCTGGTTTTCTGTTGGCAGTATTTTTACTTAGTTTAATCAGGCCGTCGATGCGTGTTCTTAAGGATTCTTTAAAGTTTTTGGCCTCTATTGGAAATAAGTAGAAGCAATCCAGCACAACCAGTTTAAGAATATATTCGGGATATAGTTGTGTAAATAATATTGCACATTGTCCACCCCAGCTGTGCCCCATTATTATGTACTCCTTCCGGTTAAGATAATCTACTACTAATTTCATTGTTAATATCGTATTTAACGCCGTAATCAGCAAATAAGGTGGATAAGGACTTGACCTTCCGTGACCCGGTAGATCGATGCATATATAATAAAATGTGTCAGGTAAGTGTGGTATCAGTCTATCGAAGGAGCCAACATTGTCCGATACTCCATGGATTGTGAGTACCGGTGTATTGGTCTCAACACCCCAAGCTTTCACTACGACAACAACATATAAGGTTACGTACGTGTTACCATTTAAATAGTTTTACCTGCGACATGGCCCCAAGGCACTGGTATTTCAAATTCTTTTATTTCCATAGCACTTCCTATACTTAAAATTGCGTACGCAGCAAAAATGGCGAAAAATGGGTACAAAAAGGTAGCGGCAAATTCAAATAGAAACTTGATGGTGAAGCTAGCAGTAGATGTAGATAAACCTCTCGCCAGGAAAGATTGCCGGTCACAGAACACTTGATCCTTGTCTACAATCTGTTTCTAAAGATGTGCTTCCGGGATAGTATCGTGTCAATGTTGAACAAAAAGACTTTTCGTTCAACAATGGCACGATCCTATTCTGGAAGTCGCTCGCATCTTAAGAAAAACAAAGATTGTAAATCGACACAAGGTGTGCTGTGACCGGCAATCTTTCCTGGCGAGAGTTATATGTTATTACAGCGAAGGGCCTAAAGAAACCGTTATCACGAGTCGTGATGCACGACATTACTCAAAGATACTTGTCTTTTAAATGTAACTGTATACAGGGTGTTAATATTAAGTCGTTACACTCGAAAACTACAAACAACTTTTCTTAGTTTCAATTTTTGTTATTAGCGTTCTTTTGTTTTTCGAAAAATCTTCATACTTAACTCGCTTATTTTAAAGACTGTGGAAAAAAACAATTTTCAAAACTATCTTCAGTTCTCTAAAATATGTGTATTATCCCTACATTTTTTTTTTAATTTTTGATCAATCGCTATTTTGTTATTTGAAAAAAAAAATTGCAAATACAACTGTTTTAGAGAGCTGAAAAATAGTTACTCCTTAAAATACCTAAGGGAGTTATGACGATTTTTCGAAAAACAAATCAAAAATTAGAACTAAAAAAAGTTGTTTGTCTCAATGAGTTCTAACTGCCGTTTTCAGGTATAACAACTTAGTATTAACGCCCTGTACAGTAAATAAATAGACGCACGTTATGTTATTAAGAACAATTAAAATTTATATTGTCATTGATAATCGTTCGACCTTGATATGTAGGTAATTCATTTTTATTTATTAGTATCTCAAAAAATACACTTTCTCTTATCACTGCCGAGTTAAATAACTGAATTTTGTTTATTTTTAATTTGCGTAATTTTTTTTACTTCTGCCCGCGTTCTTCAGGTTATAACTTTTGAGAAATATACATGCATGGTTATCGTTTAGTCGATCCAAAATAAGTCGATTACCTACCTATAAGTATTTTAGAATTGTTTATCTTTTCATTTAAATAATGACTTGAGTCTTTGCTATATTTTTGATAATTTGTTTACTCTGTACCTCTTATGTAATTAAAGTAATTTAATGTGTACTTAAAAAAACGGACCAAATACATGGAATAGATCCTCTTTCCTCCTCTAAGGAATAGATCTGAGACTATGAAAGAAACCTATCAAGAGCAATGCTGGACGTTGAGAAAAATTTTTGTGTAGCGGCCATATTCTCGATTCACAAAAACCGTTTACTTTTTGTTTATTGCACAAACAAATTACTATAATAGGCAACCAACTCTGCTATGGAAACAGTAAGGCAAACAACAATAATAATGTAATGTTGGTTGCCTACATCCATCTATTCTATGATACCAGGATTCCACCTTTGTATACTTTCAAAAAACGCGCGAAATTAAAAGAGAATACTCACTCTTTAGCTTCATCAACTCGGCCTGGATAAAGAAGAATCTTACAAGTAACTGAATAACGGGCATGTGGGGGGTAGGGCGCCACCTCCTAGTCACCATTTGAGTCGGAATTCCATCACATGAAACAAAAGTGCTCAATTTTAAACTTAAGCACAGCCTATCATGATCATAAATTAACTCACCTTTTTTTAGATTGTTAAGCTGATCTTCTGATAATAAATGAGGAATAACAATCCCGAAAAACATTCAATTTGAAAATGAAAAAAATGGCTCCAATGCTGTTTGACTCAGTTCGCAAAGAAGATCTGTTTACTTCATTAAATTGACGTGGCTATGAATTCATAGTCACTGATTAATATGAAGTAAGTGATTTCCTCCACGAATGAGAAAACTTGCAGCCTTTTTCATCGTCAAGATTACAGGCTGAGAGGATAGCTACCACTCACTTATTACGTTCGAAGATCGGCTGGAAGTTGTTGATGGTGATCTTTTTTTCAGTCACTGCACTATTCACTTTCCCCCGAGCGTTCCCCCCACATAATAACAACATGCAAAAAAAGGAAAAATCCTACCTTAATAATAAGGCTGCCCTTCTGGAATCTGGAACCAAAAAACAAATTTCCGTTAAAAAGTGAAGAAGTTCCTTATTAATAGTAAAATATTTGACGTTTAGAGTAGGCCTTGAGGAGCGCAAATGTCGCCAATAATTGTAGATACATTTCCGCCCTTCAATAAAAAAAAAGTTAGCACTCACCCAAAGCCTTATTGATTCGATCTTGCCTAGGAAGTACCATTGACTGAACTGGTGGTAGTTGAATTGGGCCATCGGGGGTTCCGTCTCTTAATAACTTAAAAACAAAAAAAAATGCATTAAATTTTTGAGTAACATTTAAAGGAAAATTTTGAATTACGTCGTATTTCGTTAAATATCTCACAAACGCGATATTTCAGAATAAGGGAGCGCACTTTACCTTTTTTTAGTTTCAACTCCTCCTGGTCTAGGAATAGGCCTTAACTGAACTGCAGGCATCAGAAGAACGGACCTGAGGGGGTAGGACGTCCCTTCCTAGTCCCCATCTGCAAAAACTGCAAAACGTTACTATAGCATTACCTAAATATTTGAGTTTAATTGATCAAAAACTTGAATTGCGAGTATCTCCAAAAAAAAATGCGTAAATTAAAAGGGAACACTTACCTCTTAGTTTCATCAACTCGCCCTGGATAAACAAGAATCTTGCAAGCACCTGAGTATGTGAATTGTGGGGGTGAAACTTTTCCTCTTACAGTCTGCATCACCAATAACTGAAAAGTAAAAAATTGCATTAATTTTTTTAAAATTCAATTATCAACAATTTGGAGGAAGGGATGAACGGACAGAAACATTTTTCTTTACGTTATGCATAAAAACAAAAGACGATTATTTTTCTGATGAATTTCAGACTGAGGGCACTTTCAAGTGAGGAAGCAAGCGTCCCAAAGACCCACCTCTTGCCTGATTGGGCTACATTTGACTGTCATTAAATGTGAAAAAAGTGAGTTTCCCGAGCGAAGGGTCCCGCTGGATTTCTTCCATATTCAAGGAGTCCCTCCGCCAAACCGACGGGCCCAATATGTGATCACAATGCAACTTCTGGTTATGTTCATTGAAATTTGAGGGACCCCTCTAACAATTAATTTAATGCGTTTTATGGATCATCGCCACTTCATTTCTAGAATTCAGCACGTACAACCTATCCTTGTTTTCATCATTCGCGCACCCTCGACCTCGTTAAAAGTGAGCTACAGCTACAAAATTCGAATTAAGTGCAAAAACATGCAAGAGTGATTTTTCGATCACTCATCATTGGACGCCATTTTATGAACCAGTCACCAATTATTAATTTTGAATTTTCCGTAAACATTGCAGAATTATCATAATCAGTCGCATTGAAATTAATGCAAAATTCACTTGTAAACTCACCCCTGCATTACGCCTCTTCGTAAAATGCATTTAATTTCACAAAACACAATTTTTTCTTTGGGACGCACTCGATTTGAAAGCTGCAACTGCCGTTGATGGCGTAATTGAAGCCATTGGAGCCCGTGTTGTTACAGTCGTACCCGATATCAATTGCATTAAAATCAATGCAAAATCCAGATGCGAAAATTCACGTCGTTCGCAAAACTGTTATAAAAAACGTAAACAAATCATTTTGTGACGTCATTATCCCTTATCGCTAGCAATAAGAAATCTCTTTTTTGCGGGGTGTTGGGGTTACACTAATAATTGTACGGAAAATTCAATTAAAACAAATTATAGCGTGGGTGCGGAAAATACGTAATGCAAACTGTACCCGTGGGGGAGAGGGCGAGAAATATGGAATAGATAAGGGGGACATTTTTTGAGTGCCCGAAAAGATGGAAAGGTACTTACCTTCGTAGCGTTCATGATCGTGGATGCGATTTCTGGTACAAGATGCGTTTAATTAGAGATCCTTAACGGCAATATGCTCACGTGTAAATTAAAAAATCACCCCTTGCCTATACGATCAGCGAACAGCTTTAGAATTTTAAAGATCACGCACGAAGAAAACAGACAACAGGCCACTCGGAACGTTCCCGACTGAATCGTTTGAGTAGCAACATCGGTAAGCCGCGCTCCGATTGGCCAGCGAGCACACCTGTAGCTCGCTCTTATCTATACCGGACTGTGTTTACCCGAATTTCGAAGAACTTTTTAATAAGATTCTCATTTTATTCGTACGAAAGCTGAACAGCGACCGAGGGAACTGAGTACCCGTGACAGGAAAAGCTGTGCTTTTCTCTACCCCCTTTATGCTTAGGTATTGAAAGGATATTTTTTGCTAATTTATATTTTCCACCCCCAACTTGTTTAAATCCTGATAGAAGAAAGTCTTAATAAAACGTAACCCATTCAATACAAAGCAAATTTACCTATAAATTAAAAAAGTCCTATAATCCGATTGGGCCCAAATGTGAATCTAAACCATCCGGGGACACAAAAAAGTTTCATCAAAATCAGTTCTTATTTGGGATGAGTTCACTCGTTCAGTTACATTTTGATAAATAAAAATCCTTGAAATATGAATTCTAAATAGGCATCCGCTAAATCAAAGGAAGGAGAAAAAGTACAAAAACACTGAAAATTCGCCGAGAAGCAATTAGAAAGCCCTGGAAAGGGTGTAAAAAGCTCTGGAAAACATAAGGTCTAAGTCTTTTCTGGGAAAAATTTGAAAAAGACCCAGAACGATTCACAAAAACTAAAATATTCTGGAAAAGCGCTGAACATTTCGGGATAAAGCTTTAAGTTAAAATCTTTGTCTTTTTCCAGAGTGCATCCGGTGCGTTCCGAGGGTTTTCTGGTGCCTTTTTTAAGAGTTTGAGTGTTTTCCAAAGCGTTGCAGTGCCTCGTTTAAGACTCTATTTTATTTTTTTAAATTTGCATTTTTCTCTAAAACTAAGCATCAGAGTGAAAAATGTTAATTAGGTACAAAAAAGATGTGTCTTGATGAGATCTAGAAAAAAGGCTTCTACACTTTTTGCGTCGGGTTCAAAATAAAGGCGCTACAGGGCACTTTCTAAATGTTATATGACCAAAGATAATTGCAAGTAGTCGGAAGGTCAAGTCAGGAGTTACAAGTTTTTATTGCTCTGGAATACCTTTCAGTGTTCTGGGACAGTAGAAGGCTTTTCTACGGAACTCTTTAGGTTTTCTTTTTTAACAATTGAAAGTTGTTTACGCCCTTTGCATAACTTTCTAGATCATTTCGGTGATTTTTGAGAGAATTTATTTTTGTAACTGAGGTTAAGGTTCAAATGCCCAGAGCCGGTGGGCCTTGAAAGTTTTAACGTCCCTCTTCAAAAGCTGGGTAGACATAATTTTCGTGCAACAAACATTTCTTAGTAATTGTAGTCGACATTATGACGAAAGTTTTGGTGTCGCTGGTTTATCGGCAATGTCGCAGGTGAGTTATAACCAAACTGTTTTAAATACTAAAATGCAACACTGTAAGAAGAGTTTGTGTTTTTGATGATTTCCTCGACTTCTTCTTTCAATTTTTATACAATAACTGAAATGGAACTTAGCTGAGACTTATTAGATATCGTTGAAGTAATTAAAGATGAATGGTACGTTTATTACCGGTAGACCTAATTACCCCCATTGTTGGGGGCTGCTTGTTGAAAATGGTTGTGTGGTTTTTGTTTTAATTACTCATGCTTACTAGTGTACACAATGCCCGGCGTGTCCGAAATGGGCATGGTTTGGATGGGAGCAAACGCTGTGGGACAGGATATATCGATGGGGCTACTTCCTAACGACTCAAGTGATATAATATTGGACCACGACAATCCGTACTTTACACCAACTCACAACAGCACTTCCAATCATTCTTTAGAAGAACTGGGCAACGTTCACGGATCGCCACTTGTAAGTGATCGGGTGAGTTTTATCCTTTTCATTCTGGTGCGTCCTTTCAGACGATGGAAAGCATGGAACTATTACGCTATGCAGATATGAAGCAGGATAGTAGTGATGGTAGTTATATGGACGACGATAATTCTCCGGTTTATATGATCAACACTGCTACACAAACGACATCGTGCCCGAACCGTAAAATAAAACCTATTAAGCATCCCGGTTTAGTATTAAAAACTCCCATCGCGTATGAAAGCAATACAGACCCTTCGGTTATACCCATACAAAAGGACGGAATTGGTGAGTCATATTAATATTAACAATCGCAAAATATGGGTAATTCCGTTAGCCGTATTTCTTACTAGTAAACAATTAGGGTGGTACAAACTGTAGCCTAAACTTCTTCGGTAGAATATGTAGCAAACCTCATTTGACTCTCACACAATCACAAAATAGTTGGCTGGTTGTTAAAAAAAAAATGAAAAGTCTGAAAGCTGCCCTGGAAAAGTAACTATGTGTGGAGCTCAGTACTTTGGTTTATTGGCCACTTTCAGAAGTGGTGAACAACTAGGTATCAATGCATTCTGAAATTACAGTTACGGTTACAGATGCTGAAAAATTGTTTGAACCTGCAATTTGTCTAGCACTACAGAGGCGTCAGAAGTGGGGCTTCAGCCAGAGAACGGGGAAGGCCAATTTTGTTTTTGTTTTTTTTATGTTATTTGAACAAATACAAAAAAATTAAAAAAAACACTTTCTTATTGCCACTTTTTGAGCTCTGCAAGATACTGTTGAGAGATTTTCAATATAACGTTTCGTTTCGGAGAAATCATCATCAACTCTATTTTTTTATGTGGCCTGTATTGTGTAGAATTTTTTATTACGAATACAACAATGTACGGCACACAAAAAAACAAAAGTTGGAAGCTGTTGGTTTTAACAGGATGTTGCACTCCCGCACGACGCCCTAATCATGAGAGAATACGTATCGGACAAATATTCCATTTTGCATCTCGTCCTGGATTTCCATTTTTACATATAAGTATACAGGGTGTTCCCCTATGGGGGTCTCGTAAAACCATAAGAGATACAAAGTCGATTAAATGAGCAAAGTTATGGAGATTTTTGTACTGATTAATTATCTTACTCATAGTTTCTTGTAGCTCTACAAATAGCTATGGCTAAAAAACGAAAAAAATGTCATTTTCGAAAATGCGCTGATCTTCATTTATTTTTAAAGCTATCAAAAAATACTTTTTTCTATTTCGATGTGGAAACAATACCAAAACCGTACTTGATTGGCCCAGTTTGCGTGCGTTTCTAGACAGAAATGATGCTGAAAGAAATAGAAACGCATTATTTTTTTTATTTTGTTGGATTGGTACCCCTCGCTTTTTTACTGTCAACGGTATCCGTCAAATCAAAACTGAACATAACCTGTAAAGTGTAAATAACTAACGAGGAACTTGACCGATTGTATTAATTCCGATTAATTTTGAATATATACTCCAAAGAGTAGAACTTTTTTTATTTTTACTTAGCGTAGTAAAATATGCCAGCAGTATACATTCTTGCTTACTTTTTGAACTCCCTTCTCGGCCAGCCAGTTTTCAAAAATTTTGTACTCCTCGTACTTTACTTTCGATTTTACAGGCAGTAAATTTAACGTCGCTTCATTGGCAATCTCTTGGATCTCTGGTGGGGTACAAGAGACGTGTTTGTCATCCGTATTCATCATAACTGCCGCAAAATGGAATTATGACCAAATAATTAAAAGTTTGAAGTTTGAAAATACAGGAATCAGGTTAGCCAACGTGAAAATAAATGAATTGTGTCTATTACCAACATACACTGAATGATAGTTTAAAATTACCTAACAACGCCTAAAGGCAATATTTATAATTTGTATAATTTATTATTTAAAATAAAAGTCGAAATAGAAAAAATAGTATAAAGCACACGTGTCATTTGTCTACTTGTCGCACTCGGCTTTTGCCGCATTCGCCGCTACGCGGCTTATGCGGCAAACTACCTCGTGCGACAATCTTCGTCAAATGACACTTGTACTTTAATATACTATTAACAAACCCACAAGTGTTTTTTTCTCAGCTTTCTAATGGTACCAAAATAATGACTTGTGGATTTCGAGTAAATCACTTCAAATTTCTTATTTCTTAACCATATTGGATTTTGATGTCACTCGATAGAGAAAAAAATTACAAAATCGACAATACCAAATACTTAGTATTTTATATAGAAATTAATCTTGCATTTTTGCTTGAAAATTTGCAATGTATTTTTTATGGCAATAATTCCATGGCCAATTGTGATTGATACCAAATTCATTTGTTTGTTGTCAAGCATAGTGGCCGTCAACATGGCCATGGAATTATTGCCATAAGAAATACATTGTAAACTTCAAAGAAATAATTCAAAATTAAATTCCAAATAAAATATTAAGTATTTGGTATCGACAGTTTTGTAATTTTTTTCTCTGTCGAGTGACACCAAAATATGGTGTCCATAAGAAATAAGAAAGTTGATATGATTTACTCGAAACCCACAAGTCATAAAATATTTATTTTAGTACCATCAGAAAGCTGAGAAAAAAATCATTTGTTTGTTAAAAGTATTTTTTGATGGCTTTAAAAATAAATGAACATCAGCGCATTTTCGAAAATTACATTTTTTCGTTTTTTGGCCATAATCTCGCTATTTGTAGAGCTACAAGACATTATGAATCAGCATAACTTTGCCTATTTAACTGGTTTTCTATCTCTTACGGTTCACGAGATCCCTATAGTAGAAGTGAAAAAAACTCACCCTGTATAATTGCTGTCATAACATTTCTCGAGCACTAGAGTCCGTGAATTTTTTGCAATAGGTAGCCTATACCTTGAAGGTGTGCCAGACAGCCATCAAATTTTTCTGTCTTAAAACTTTGAAAATTGGGGGGGGGGGGCACGTTCTGCCCTGCATGGTATTCTAATGAAAGGTCTCATCGAAATTAATTGCTTTCTACAAACTATAATCCCCAAATTAAGAATTCAATCGCCAAAGTTCATAACATATGGGTGGCGACAGTTAAAATTCCATGTGATTTCCAAGTAACGCTACAGCTTGTTTTTTTTTCAACTAACCATCATTTCGTATGGTTCTTGATAGAAAGAGGAAAATAAATGTGGACAATCGATACACCGTTACAATAGGCATAAAGATCACTGCGACAAATCCGGACATTTTTCTTACTTCTGGAGGGTTTTGTTCAAAAAGCGGGACAAATCTCACTTTTTCGATATGTATGGCAACCCTAATCACGGGAGAGAAATCGAGGCATATCGTTGACATAGATAAGGAACAATGTAGGACCTAGCACAGAGCCTTGAGGTACTCCAAGTTTATGCAGCACTACATTATTAAAAAAGGACGCATTTGATTCTTCCACTTAGGTATGATGAAATTATGGAGCAGCTGGTCAAATTGAAGTTACAAGTCCTAGTTTCCTTATTAAAATTGAGTGATTAACACATTCGTATAACTTTAATGTGGATACAATAAGAGACTTCTGTGAGTATGAGGTAATTTGTTGTTAAATACATAGACAACGAGAATGTCCAATAGGGATCTTTTGTGATCTTATTATAGATTTACTCTCGATTGCGTGAACATTGTCAAGTTGCTCTTGAAATTAGAACAATATGGCATCAGAGGTCGATCTCATCAGTTCTCTATTACCGGGTTAGTAAACGGCACCAAGCAAATATTCAAATTGCAGAATACAGTTACATATGTTGGCGTCCCACAAGGATCGGTACTGGGACCAACGCTGTTTGTGTTGTACAATGTACACACTTTAGTGCCCCATTTCTCTATATGCGAATGACACAGCATTGTGTTGATTTCGCTATGAAAATCATGCCAGAACACCTGTATATAAAAAACTGGTTTTTTTTCAGTTTTTGGCAATTTTATCAACATTTTTTTATCAGAATGATAATTTGTTAATTTTTGGATATTAAAATACATACTTTGTTCATACAATCCTACAACTTTTCAATTGAACATTGACAAAAATTAATAGTTTTGCCACAAGTTGCAAAATACCAATTTCCACCCCTTTCAACCTCCGGGGTTTCGCCCGCTGACAAATTCAGCTGTTTATTGTTCCCCGATTTCACATCACTTGACCCACATCAAAAACCCGGTTTGGATCGGAATATAATTTTTTTTTAATATGATATAGCCTGGACTAAATGTTCCTATGTTCATTTTAAAAAACAGATCAATCTATTAACAATCAAGAAAGAAGAAAGAAAGAAATAAAAATAATACATTCAAATTGACTAAAAAATGTTTTGTTAACAATAAAATAAAATTAGACTTAAAGTGCGCTATGGATATAACATTGTTGTATGGAGGTTACCCTCCGAAATTATATGGAATGTAGTGATGGTGGACTGGATCCAATATTAGAAGGTATACTTTATGCAATAGCAAAAAAAAAACTTGTACTTAAAGAAAAACCAATCAGTAACAAATGAATAAAACTGCACCTGTCAAGTACATATTTATATTTTATTCTCATTTAATCCATTTGATGTCCATCATTAAATAATATACTTACTTAAAAGGCAGTGAAAAAGTACAACACTCGACAATTAAATTGACGCGTTTTTTTTTAAGCGAACTTTAGGGTAATTGCATTGTATGTTCACTTACTGCATAATATCTAAAGAACAGTCTTGGAAAAGGTTACTCACAAACAAAAATGCAAATCCAGGACGAGATGGAAAATGCAATAATTGTGCGATAGGTATTCTCACATGATTAGGGCGTTGTGCGGAGGTGCACCATTCTGTTGAAACCGACAGTTTCCAACTTTTTTTTTCTGCATGCTGTACATTATATTCATAATAAAAAATGCCACTTTCTTATGGTTTAAGATCCATAAAAGTTCCAACTGAAAAAAATAATAAGAAAATATAAAACTGATTGCGTATTAAATTTAAATTTGTTCACGTTACTTGACATCATAGAATAGACCATTGGGAACACACAAAATAATGCTGCATTTAATAAAAACTGTTTTTACACATTTTCCAGTTTGTTACTGTTTGTAGTTATCCTGATTGTATTTTAACAATAATAATAATAATAATAATGGTTTTATTTATTTTATTAATTTTTATTAATTTTTTTATTATGTGCCTTATTTAAATACACCTGTTTTTTATAATGATCTTGACAAATTTTTGAATATTGAACAATAAACACTATTGTTATTAATCGTTAATTAATTTAGCAATGGCTTTTCAGCTGTATGTGAAAAATGTGGAGCAATAGGTGTAAAACACGCTTTTTATACTCGCGAACGTAGATTCTGTAGTATGGACTGTGCGAGAAGTTTTAGTAATTACGAATCATTTAACAATTCGACGCAAGCGTTACCACCAACTGCGCTACAGTTACCTCAGGATTACAAGAATTTCGCCGATCACAAATTCAAAATGGAGATAGAAGAAGATTATACGGGTCTGATAGCCGATCAACCTTTCCCACAGCTTCCCCCACCTCCGACGTTAACCGACGATAATGTGATGCTAAGTCGTCGTCACACGAACGAAATTGCCAATTCTTATGACTGGGATGCGTGCTTGAACGACACATACTTTGTAGCGGCTCCCGTAACGTGCTTTAAGCATGCACCAATAGTGGATATATGGAGCAATATTCTGGTCGGTATGAAGGTGGAAGTGGAAAATACAGATTGCGACAACGCCTCCGAAACGTTCCCGGATTCGTTTTGGGTCGCCACCGTTACCAAGATCATCGGTTACAAAGCGTTACTAAGATACGAAGGTTTCGGACTGAACGAGACTAAGGACTTTTGGGTTTCGTTATGTTCGAATCAGGTTCATCCGGTAGGCTGGTGTGCCACCAGAGGCAAACCGTTAATACCTCCGAAAACCATCGAGGATAAGTATAGCGATTGGAAGGATTTCTTGTGTAAGCGATTAACAGGGGCTCGAACTTTACCTTCCAATTTCGCCAGCAAGGTGACGGACAGCATGAAATCGCGTTTTCAATGTGGCCTTACTCTCGAAGTCGTCGATAAAAATCGAATTTCCCAAGTAACGACTCAAATTGCGAGCGGCAAAGGTTCAATTTCACCGCTTCATTTTTTTAGGTGAAAGTTGCGGTCGTGCACAAAATAATTGGGAGACGTTTAAACGTCAAATACTACGACATGCCTCCCGAGGATTCTGGTTTTTGGTGCCACGAGGACTCGCCGCTATTACATCCGGTCGGTTGGGCCAAAAAAGTGGGGCATCATCTCGTCGCGCCCTCACAGTATGTGGATAGGGTAAGAAGTGGTATTTCGGAGGATAATGATGCTTCGGAGGAGTTGTTTACGCCTGTCCAAATCGGTTCGAATGATAATACTTTAACATCCGGCTTTCGTATTGGGATGAAATTAGAGGCGATTGATCCTTTAAATTTGTCATCGATTTGTGTCGCTACGGTCATGGAGGTTTTAAATTGTGGCTATATCATGATTCGGATAGATACGTATGATGCAGATGCTACAGGTAATTATAATTATTATGTTATTTTCGCTTCTTTATTTCATTTTGCTGTAGATCATTATACATTTTTTAGTTGGTCTTGTGTATAAGTAGATAGGACATGGAACAGAGACTTTAGTGACATGGTATATTAGCAATGCAAATAGTGGTACCTTGTGGGTTTTTTTTTCAGATTTTTTTCACTTTTTCAGTTTTTTTCTTTTCAAGAGCATGTACAGAAAAGTTGATACTGCTAAAGAAAAATTTAAAAAAAAATGAGTTTGCTTTGATATACAGGGTGTTCATTTTATTTTGTCCACTATTACTACCTAGAGAACTATAAAAGCAATTAGCAAACAATTTCTATTTTCCAAGGCTATTTGATGAGCACGGAAGAAAAAAATTTTGTCCTTTGTGCTTCAACTCGGAGGTGGCCATTTAAGCGATATAATTTTTTTCAATTAATGTCATCAAATAAACTTTTTATGAAACCAGCTAACTAAATGGCAGCCACTTCAAATTATGACATTACTTTTGCGCCACCTTGTATTTTACACCGTTATAATTCAAATCAGTACTCATAATGAAGTAGCATGTAATTGAGTGAGAAATTGGGTGTAACTAGTGGTGGCTGAAACCCCGCACACTTTTAAATAAAATTTTAAAAGTTTGAAAAAATCGCATTATCGTAAAAAATGAATTGCGATAGTCTATCTATAGCATAGAGGAAATACAATAAAAACTGGCATTGCTAATTTCGCTCAGCAGATGCTGCCATCTGCTTTTAAAGGGGTGTAAACCGTAAAAATAGAAAATCGTACGTTCATTAGCGTACCGTGAGCGGTCTCCTCGTTCTGAGATGGCGCTAGTTACTCGGGGAGCGCCTAGTTACGAAATGCGTTCTCTTAAATCTAGTTTCGAAAACTTTTGAAAATGCAAGGGGGGGGGGGAACCTAACCATTCATGGTATTCTAATTAAAGGTCTCAACAAAAGGAACTGTTTTCTACTAACTGTCGCCCTTTTTTCTGACACTGGTAAAATTAGAAATTTTTGAATTTTTAAGAAATCTTTTTTCAACCTCTTTGAATCGATATTGAATTTTTTCAGTGTTATACCTAAAAAAAAGGAATTTAATATGTTATTTTTGGATTAAAATATACAGGGTATGCCATTTAAAAAAAATGAATTAGATCCAATATCTTTTTTATTCAATACTGTATAATTATTTATTTTGAAAACGGCAGATTATTTATCAATAATTTTGAAGAGACATTTTTTTATTCTGTTTTTACTAAGAATATATAGGGTCATTCTGAAATTGAAAATTGTTTGATTTGTCTCCGTATTGCTAAAGGAAAAATGCTCAAATTTTTATATTACCATTTTAAGTTTGACCCAAAAATAGCCCATAACGCCTATAAAAGTGTCGAAAATGGGACACCCTGTACATGAAATGAAATGTAAAATTCCAAAAGGAAAATGTTGTTGGTTGTAACTTATTTTTGAGCATGTGCTCTTTTTAAACTTTAAAACTTAATACGGTAAAATCAAAATTTTCTCTCGAGCAAGAAATACAGGGAAAACCACAAAATTGTTAATTTCAAAATGATTATCGGCCCGTATTATAAAGCCATACAGCATACTTAACTATGTTGTCAGCTAACAGTGTTGTTAAGACATGTGGTTGGATGTTTTTACAAACAATAACATCATGTTTAAGCCGGCCTGTGTGTCGCAGTTGAGTTGAAGCTGGACTGCGCTACTAAGGATCCCTGGTTCGAATCCGGGTACAGGCATGGGTATTTGTAAATGTGTAGTGGGGTTGGGTTGGTAGAGCAGCCTTAGCTGAAACCCCGCCCACTCAATAATACTAAAGACAAAAATAAAAGTAAATAATAATAAAATAAGTATATGGCTTTATATTACCGCCCATATATTTTTAGCGCATTTTTTAAGAACTAAAAAAAATGTGCTATTGTCATTATATTCTAATTAAAGGTCTCAACGAAAGGAACCGTTTTCTACCAACTACTGCCCTTCTTCCTGACCTCTTATCAAAGTACGGGGTGGGGGGGGGGACTAGTTTTACCCTTCATGGTACACTAATGAAATGTCTCAACGAAAGAAATTATTTTCTACCAACCATAGGCCTCCTCCTCGACCTCTTATCGTGATCGGGTATATTCCCTTATACCTCAAGAACGGATTCAATAGACTGGCGATATATTTTGAGTATTTTCAAAATGCGACCATCGTTGCCCGCATCTTCTATTTGCGTTATTCGAATCGACCACGAACCATCGCCGCCAGCATATTAAATACTTCTTGGTTAGAAATGGGCATTTTAGAAAAGACAAATTCAAAGAGCTGCACTTTCTGAATGTAGACACAGCAGAATAATTTACAAATTACGACTGTTATTATTTTATAATGCATCGTGTTTCATTTGTTTACATTTCCAAGGCCTACCTAAAAGTGTAGGGTGCTTTTCTTTCGTGCCATCGACAAATACGGGAAATACTTAAGAAGTAAATTTAAGATACAATTTAAGCATTTTTATTAATTAATTAATTAATCTCATTTTCCCAATATGTATTCATGGTTAGGAATGAGATTTTGAAAAGCGGTTTTCACTGGCCTCTTTGGATGTTATTTGGCTACTTTTTCATATAGAAATTTGATTTTTTTATTTTTTTATGATTTTGGGTCAGTGTCAAAACTAGCCCCCTGGCTGAGAAGGATTCAACTAAATTAACTATATTTTGGTTGATTCTCATTGCCCAAGGAATGCTCTTTTCAACCATACTAAATTTGTTAAAATCGATCAAACCGTTAAGAAGTTAAAGAAGGTTATTGTAAAAACAATTGAACGCCCCACACCGTCTTTGTTTTTGAAATAACTGAGTTTTTGTTTTTACGAGAATGATAGATAAACTGGTTCTCTTTAAAAATGTGAAAAAAATTTTTTACTTTATTATGCGAAATTTAAAGAAAATTTAAGATGGCAGTTACGCCCTCTGTTGGTCATTTTTAGAACTATAAATATTTTCCAGCGATTCTTCATGACCGATTTACCCAATAATTTTTTTTACCTCTAAGTCATGACGGACGGTTCTCGAGATATGGCCAAGGAACAGTCTTATTGGGTCACCCAGTACGTAAATTTATCAATTCAAGGTCAGACATTATAAATGAATTCCGGCTTTTAGGGCTTCATATTCGCGCTAATTCAGCTACTCAATTTAGTGATCTGTCCTACATACCAGACGGCGCTAAATGAAAATTTTCCATCAACTTATGAGGGGTGTGAAAGGTGGCCACAAATTATTAAGCGTCTGGAACTCTTATTGTATTTCCTCTATGTCTATAGGAGGGTATTAGATCATGATAATACCCAAATAAGCAAACAAATCATATTTTGTTGAATCCTGAAGTAAAAAACCAAAATCAGAAAATAAAAATGATAATTGGAAAAAATTTCATTTAAGTTAAACAGATCATTACAATGTGAGGAGTAATAATGATATTAACATTCCATATAATAAGTATGAAATTATCAATTGCTATTATTAATTTTCAAATTCTTGTAAGGGTATAATACTGGTATATGCAGAATAATAAGTTCTGATTATTCTTATTCCCATCACAGTATCACAGATATGTTCATTCTAAAAAATCCAGAATCAAACTGACAAATATTAAAGGTAGGTGCATGCAGTTTGAAAATTAATTTGTGATCATTGGAATGTTCTATTTTGTTCTTTGCGTGAATACTGCATGCTGTAATTTTTTCTTCTTAAATAAATCAAGTTCATATTGGGAGCATTTGAAATTTTAGAAACTGTGTTTTCCAGTTTGTTATTATCAATTACAAAGATCCACAATTTCACACATCTTTTAAGTGTGATCTAAAAGTTTTTTGAAATATTTTTCCTGCAGTCAGCGCCTCTGAGTTTTTGCAATCAGGTCATTGTCACAAGTATTATGACCACATAAAGAGTAAATGCTCATAGATATACCGCCCATGCAACTGGATTGTTTAAATTAACTATGTATGAACCGAGGTATATACATGGATATTTCATTTTACTTTGTGTCATTGAATAGTAGGCGCAATTTAACAACAAAACTTCACTGGTTGCTGGTATTTCTAAAATAGCAAACGTTACCATGTGAATTTGCATCGTTCATCCTCATTAATAACATATTAATAATATTTATATTTAAGCTGGGTTATTCTTGAAAGGTGGCGACTGGTTCTGCTACCATGTGAGTTCGCCTTATATATTCCCAGTTGGATTCTGTGAGCAGCATAGTCTCGCGTTAGTTCCGCCGAAAGAATTCACGTTACAGACATTTAATTGGAAGAATTACCTTAGCGAGACCGGGAACGTTGCCGTAAGTGCCAGTTTGTTTAACACGTTCGTTCCCGCGCACGGTTTCGAGGAAGGTATGAAAATGGAGGCGACCGATTTAATGGATCCGAGGCTCGTCTGTGTGGCGACCGTTGCCAAAATGGCGGGTAGACTGTTACGCGTTCACTTCGACGGTTGGGAAGAGGAGTACGATCAGTGGTTGGATTGCGAAAGTTCCGACATTTATCCCGTGGGATGGTGTCACAGTGTCGGCTACAAGTTGGAAGGCCCTCGAGTCGTTCCGAAGCATACCGCGCCCGTCGTGAAGTCGCCGAAGATTCCTAAAAAAAGAGGACGGAAAAAAAAGGCTAAGGTAGAAGCTCCAAAAATGCCGGCGCCTCGAGTAATAAAGGTGGAATCCGTCAGTATTCCCAAACCAGAAATAAAGGAAGAGAAAGTCGAAACGCCGGAAAATGTTCTCCAAGAACCGGAAGCGGGGTTGGAACCATCCGGGCCGGAGCAAAGCATGCCTATCGCTTCTGATCCGCAACCACCTTTAGAAAGGAAGGCTACCTCATACATTAATGTAAGATTTATTAATAACAATTGAATTCTAGTTGTGTCATGAATGTAATAAGCGCATTCTCGTCTTTCTCTCTAATGGGAGAGGATCCTTTTCATTTTTTGGAAATTATTTCCGAATTTCCGTGTTACGAAATTCCAATTAAAAACTAGAACCCAATGAAAATGTACCTAATCAAATCATATATTCATGTTTGAACCCAAATTCGAACCAGGGACCGTGAATATCGCCGTAGAGCTTCCACTACAATAAAATAAAAATTGAATCATCGCCCAACTTTTGGATTTTCAGTTCTAGGTAAAATTTTGCATCACTGACTTGAATCCGATTGGCTAACAAACGCAGGTCCTTCCTGACTCTTCTCAGATTTGAACTTCTTGGATTTCTTACAGTCCCACTTATAATGGCCTCACTCACCACATTTGTAACATTTTGGGAAAACTCCTTTGACTTGTCACCACCGGCCTTATCGTGACCATTGCCCTGCTCGGGTTTGTTAGAATTATTTATAACCCAGATGATAGTAACTAAGTTCTCATACTAAAACTACCCACATGACACACTTCCGTTACGATCGTTCACAACAAAAATAAATTCGCGCAATACTGGGCCCATAACCTGATGACATCTGCGGTTCACAATAAACAGTTGTAATTAATGACAAAAGAAATGTAATTTAACAATGCAAAAGCAGCATGACAGTGTTCAATGTCTGTTATTAATATTAAAGATACAATCATGACATATACTGGAGTTGCACTGTGTCAGTTTACCCTCCTACTATTAACATAAACATTGTAGTCCCACGAAGTGAACAGTGGAAAGGCGATTCCACGTCTGATCGATAACACAGGTGGATGTTGTGATCCTAGCGAACTCTGTCCGGAGGATTGGAATGTCTTCGACGTCGCTCAATTTCTTCGAGTTAACGATTGCGCAAATTATTGCGACACTTTTAGTAAACACGTAAGTGGATCTATCTGCTACTGTAAATAAAGAGAAATTGACTCGTCTGCCATATTGGATATTGTGATATTGCAGATGAGTCATTTTACATAGTAGCTATAGCCTATTGCAATAAAAATAGCCGTGTCACTTTTTGTTCTAGAAAATTGACGGAAAAACGTTACTGGCGCTTAACAAAGACGATATAGTGGAATTCACGGGCGGCAAATTGGGTCCATCGGTCAAAATCTACGATCTTATACAACAACTAAGGGTAAAAGTTAGTCCGGCGCAGGTGCGCCAAATGAAGGCGACTGTAAAAAAGATTTTATAGTGTTTGTGTTTATTGAAATTATTGACACTAACGCTGGCTCTAACTTGTAATCACTTTTCCTTTGACCTACGTGCGCACGTTACATTTCTTTTACCTTCACATTGTCCCTTTTTTCACCACTGATTTATTTAATAATAAATATATTTGTATTTGTTGTTTCTTATTGATGAAATGTAAGTCATTTTTGAATTAACAAAAGCTTTAAGAGACTTTAATAAAGTATGTGCGTTTAGACAGCAAAGTCATCATCAACCAATATTAGCTGCTCATAGTGTGGGCATCAAATGTGATAGAAGCAGACAGAAATATTAGTTACATTTTATGTAATTTTAATTAAGGGTAGCCTTGACTTAATTTTTTTAGGCAACCTATTTGCAATGTGTTTGTTTACATATTAAGATTGCTAAAAAATGGCATTTCTCGGGGTAAACAGAGGAGCGAAGATTAACTTTCTGTGGGATCTTGTACGAGAACATGAAAATAAACAGAGAAGGCAAAGATAATGGTTATAGGAAAGGAAGAGATGGACCAATGAAATACAGAGCAAGCAAATGTATATAAGTGCTTTAGAGTTTCCTCTGGATCATTACCATATCTACTAATTCATCTTTATAAAATTGCCGGTTGGTCTCTAGTACTCATATATTTTTAGATTGGTTTCTTCAAAGGCACTACATATTACATTTGAATTAATTTGACAATGGGTAAGTGTTCTAGTGATTGTGAAGGCGAACATTCAGACAGGTACCTGAGAAATCAAAGATTGCTTGATTTTTGCTGTCACAGGCGATATCTCGGTTACTGCTGTTAGAGATATGACTAAAAGTTACAGAAGAAAAGTTGTTCTACATTTCATGTTGCATTATCTGTTAATAGCCAAAAAATCAATGCTTGGGCAAATGATTAAACATCTTTTTGTGAAACTACTTTAGAAACAACTACTTTCGTGAACTCTAAAAAGAGTGTAGAAAATGTGAATTTCCCCTCTAGTGAGGAAAGTAAAAAACAATTGCTGCGTTAATGACATTTAAAATTGAAACATACCCGTATCTAGATTGCTATGTGTTAAACTTCATCTTTGCATGCGATAATTGTTCAACTCTGATTGTAGTTTCAGAAAATTCTTGTGTAAAATTGAGAAGAAAGAAAGAAAAATTTAATTAAAATTAAAGTTAAGAGGTGGGTCTCAAGGTTGAAAATTTTTGTTAAATGGGTCAAACTCTGGGAACCACTGCTGTAGACCATTTTCCAACATCTAATACTACAAAAGATTGTGTATTTTGGTCTAGATATAAAGAATACGTAGACATCTCGCCAGGAAAGATTGCTGGTCTGGCAGACGAAAAGACTTTTCGTTCAACATTGGCACGATCCTATTCCGGGAAGTCGCTCACATCTTAAGAAAATCATAGATTGTAGATCGACATAAGGTGTGCTGTGACCGGGCTCTTCACGGGTTTGATGATTATTGTGTATTTTCAGCTGTAGAATTGACTTACCTTTCACCTGAACGTTAAGTAAATTGCTTACTGTTGAGTTTTCCCAGTCAAGTACTACATACTATCCTGGAAACGGACCAGGTAACTACTGAAGAAAGATCAAATCCTAGGAAAAGTACTTTGTCTAATGATTATATGGACAACTGATTCTTATGAAAAGGATCTGTGCAAAAAGGACACAGCTCCGGTTTTATTGTGTTCTAGTAAATTTATAAAAATTGAGTTGTCTCCTTTTTACATCATTTCTCTTTCGTGTTTCGCTAATGAGAGCTGGGTTCAAGTTTTATTATGGCTTCTTGGTGTTTCTATTATTTCAACTGCCACAAGAGTTCCAAGTTCGAAAAAGATGCGCCCGCAAAAGTTAAAATGAGTAAGTATCGAAATGCGGGTGGTTTATTTTTAAAATTTGAAGAAGTTAATTAAATAAATTCATGATGGGGATGAGATTCCTGCGTAATGTTGGCGAAGAGTGTATCGAAAAGGGTGAACGTAACAAGCGCGCTGGCTAGGAATGTACAAGGCGGGGCCACGTCGCCATCTGGCAGACGTTGCGGGTGCACGAGCGCCCCGCTTCCTACACGCTAAAGTAGTACCGGTGCATATTTACAATTTTTTCGTAATTTCGTTTCTATTAAATGACCGTAAATAAAGCGATCGATTTCGAAAATTGTGCGTAAATAGTGTGTAACGAAATGTGTTCGAATATCGATTATTGCCGCGCGAAGCGTAGCGTATGAATACACAACATTGGCGTCACTAGGCCTCAGCTGTTTCCCGCCAAAGCCCGCTACCAGAAAACCGCTGTGAGGTCTAGCGTATGTTTGTGTCGGATGCTACATTCTACTAATTTGTGTTATAAAGTGATTTAAATAATTACGCACGCAATTAGAATTATCGTGAAATAGTTGTCGATCGTGTAGTATGTCAACGATAACGTTGGTTTCCGGCGAACACATTGTCTACGATTCGAATCACAAGGAGAACGCCGAAATATTAGGAAAAGTGCAGAGGTAAGCGTTTTATACTTGTGTCCGCTTTACGTTTTAGTTCACATTTTCCATCTTATCGCCACCGTTTAACCGGAATTAGCAATCGTAGTGATAAGTGCAACCTATTTCTCGCGCGGGAAATGCTGTTTTAAGTGTACGGCTGACATGAATGGGAACCGTTTCCATTTAAACTACCGGCTTCACTCAGCTGTTGTCACGCCATGTTGTAGTTGTAGTGTGGCGTACGCTGGCCGAAGCTGAGGCAACGTCGCTCAAATACTTGTTTATTTCACCGCATTTCGAAGCGGACCCAAAATATTCGTACCCTTGAAATGGTTCGCCCTCGCCGCAGTTGGACTTTTTCAGCTGTTTACGTGTACTGTTTTGACCTCAATATCATGCTTTAAACATATGATTGTCCCTGATGTAATAATAAACAGCTGAAAGCACCAACCAACGCTAACTTTGACTAAACGAAATGCAGATATTTAACGTGAATCATGAAATGTTATAAATACCGCTGCAATGCAGTCACGTGGGCGAAATTCATTGCACCACACCCTACACCCGACGACGCCCTCCCCGTTTTTACGCCCTCGCGAGCTTTCTACGTTTGGCAAAATCTCACTTTTGAAAAAAAAAAGGTGCAGGCTTATAAATTACATCGATTCGTCGGCGGACACCCACGCCGATGTTCGCGTTTTTAAATTTTAAAAGATTTAAATAACCTCATAATAGAAAACCGGCGACGGTAACCTCGTACATCCGCTTGATAAACCGAGATGTTTTGTCTTTTTTAACCCAAATTTCCGACCTTTACGTTCCGTTATCTGCGGGTAAATGTGGCTTCTTTTGCAGGTCGCTGTGTCTTGACGCACGTTTTGGGAAGGAAGTAGATTAGTACGCAAAAAATAACAAAATCTCCTTGTTTACGAGTTCGAGATATAGTTCATATATCTATGTGTGTTTTGATTTTTCTTGATTCGGTTGAATTTTTAGACACGTCAGATTTTGTAATTCTTTGGATTATTTAAATTATCGTATTCTGAAGTTATTAAAATTATTGGGATGCTTCCTACTGCCGATTTTTCATTTCCTTCAAACCCATAAGACTTCCTTCAATTTTGGAATCATTGAACTCTTATTCAGATTCTTTAGTTTCTTCCTCAGTTTCTTCAGAGCCGTTTAGTCACTTTCTTGATGCGATACTTGAGTGCGTCCGTAAAATGCATAATGTCTGTGGGTACGCAAGTATGGACCAATATTTAAGAGTTACCTGTGGATTCTATTAAAAATTAAAAAGAACTTTACGAAATGCAAGAATTTTCAATTAATATAAATCGATCTAAAGTATAGGAATCGGTTTCAGTCAGGTTTAAGACAAATGAGCAAATTCTATGCATGTCCTGAAATTTTGAACTATAATTCCACGATCTACTTGTATTTAATCCACCTTTTTTAGACTGATAACTATACAGGGTGTTTCTTAATGACATGCTAATATTTAAGGGGATGATTTTTGGGCCCATGTTAAGAAAAAACTTTCTATGAACGTAGGCCCAAAAAAATGTGCTTATTACCTACTAGATCTTTTTTAATTCTTATTACTACCTAATTCCAGAACTAATTTAAAAACAGTGTACAAGTGAATGGATCCAGGACAGCGGGTTCTAGCCTTTTAGGGCTTTCAAAAGCACGATTGCTTACATTTTGTTGCCTCAAAACGTTGCCATAAACAAAAAAGTTAATATTGAGGAATCTGTTGAAGTGGGCGTTATATTGTCTCTTATTTTAAGTTGGCTGTCCCATTTTTATTTTCAAAAAAGTGAGAAGGCACTATATTATTGCATAAAAAAGCAGTTCATCAAATAAAAGATACCGACCACTCAAGTTTATCATTTTCACTTGTTTATAAAGTAAATACAAGCGATACTGTTACATAATCCATAATTGTTGTTCGAAATGCAACAACGTAACCTTGAATTGTATTTGAATGATTCATTAATTAATTACACACATTTTTTTACGTGTAGACTCTGCTACTCAGCGGATTTTCGTAGAAGTTTTTCGATTGAACCGGGTTATTTATATAAGCATCATAAGTTCGAGTGATTTGTTTATCAATTCCCTTTGCACGTAAACATTGCAAAATAAACCCGTCTTTTTCCGGGGCCACGTTCGTTACCTGAAACGATATGATTAATGAGCGTAACAAATTGCACAGACACTATTTTTAGATTTCCTATATGTCGATTTGTTTGTTTTTCTAAACAGCAACATAGCGTAGGTAGGTGTTTTGCTGAAAAACCGGCGGTGGCGATTCTGGGCGCCAAAAGGCGCGTGAGTGTGTGAGAGTCGAATAATTGGCGGATTCTCATAATTAGAAGAACGGAAATTTGGTTGGTCGACTACCAAATTACGAACGGGAGTCTATAATTAAGCGCGAGATTAAATCTTTTAATCTAGGAAAAAGTGTGAAAGCTGCCGTTCCTGACCTCAACAAGTAAGTTATCGTTGTGCTACGCTTTGCACATATTGCAATATTCGTTTAACACGCAGTAGTCGTTACTGTTTGTTGCGCAGTTACTAGTTTTTTTCTATTTTAAAAATGCCAACGTTTTAATCGGTTCACATTCTTTTCAAAGCTGCCTTCGTAATCGACCTTGCCAAATGATGGTGTCTGTCTAAATTAAATGCATTCGATAATTACGCATGAATTAATTGGGTATTTGTCGACGTCATGTAATCTACAGGATGTTCCATTTCGATTACCGCACTCTGTTTGCCGACAATATTTTTCACGCCAATCACTCGTCGTTCATTTATTTATGTGTCCTTGTAGCATTGAATAAAAACCATTTATTCAATGGTTGTGTCTTTTAACCGTCGATGATTATTGTTGGCGAAAGGGGGACGTTTGAACGCAGCCCCATTAAGACTCCCAACTAACATAAAACTCCCTCCAAACAGATTCGTTGAAATGGAACAACAAATTTATTTCTTGCACTTAGGCATAAACAATTGAAATATGTGCCTGTAATATGAAAGTGACATCCATTAAAATACGTAGAAAAAACCGAGGCCTACTATGATCAAGAGTTTTTGCAATACATATTTGAATTTTAGTGGTCCAATGGAAACATAACATTCTAGATATTTTTGTTATTATCTCGGTAGCCCTGCATGACAAACCTCATGTTATTGCACACAAGCTTTACTTCTTTTTTTGAGTACGAGAAGCATCCAAAAGTAGCATTCCATAAAAAAATTGCATTTTTCAATAATACAGGAAATTGGATGCATTAAAGGATTTCGCATCATTTTTGTAGAAAAACGATAGGTTAGTCTAATGGGGCACCAAAAGTTTCTTAGATATTTCGAGATGGTCAGATTGGGTCAGGGGTCGTCCATTATTCACATGATGATTTTTAACAACTTTTTAAACTCCTTTCCCCTACCCAAAAACACGTGTATTTTTCAGTACAAAGAATCTGCAAAATGGTCAGGATATATGATAATAATTATTATTAATTTTCATTCTAGAAAATTCAGGACCGTGAAAAAAATTTCGAGGCAAGTTTAAAAATCGCGGATTTTAGACAGTGGAATAATAAATACACGTGATTATCTCACTACTCCCCCCCCCCCCTGTGACCTTTCGTATTTTTTGAACCCCCTTTCCCCCTCTTGTCCCTAGTGGAATTGCAAAGCTAACTAAATTATGGAAGATTTTGCTATTTTGTGAGCCGACTAAAATTTAAAAAAACTGCCCGAACGCCGCAACGGCATCGAACCAAACATTTTTATGAAATTATTCCAAAGACCTTATTTTTCTGTGTACAAAAAAATTGTGCCAGGTTTTTTACAAAAAAAATGAAGAAAAATATCAAATTTAACATTTTTTTTTCGGTAAAACGATTATTTTGATTCCGTTAAAATGTTGGCAGTGTACATTAGGCATAAAGGATGTAAAACTGTCAAAAACTTTTTAACATACAGTTTCAAGGTGTGATTTATTGGGGTTTAACTGCACCCGCATAATCGAGGTGAATTGGGGTGTAGCTGTCATTTCCTTTGTGAGTTCCGAAATGTTATACATATTTCAATGTTACTGAATTTATATACAGGGTGCCCCATTTATCTTGAAACAGTCGATTATCGCAGAAAGAGTTTGTCTCGTGCCGCGTATGTGAGTCGTAAGGGCGGCAACAGACGGCTTTGTAATATCTATAAAATTTGCTCAGTGGCGGCCATCGTGTACCTACTCTTGATAATTATTGTACCTAATAAACTAGATCTCACGTCGCTACTGGAAATATGCATTCGCGCGGAAGATAAATCATGCTATCTCTACCACGACAGTACAACTAAAAGGAGACTTAAATTACAAAAATTTTAATTGACTTTATACTCTCTTTCCTCCATAAAACCCGAGGGAAAATCGTAATTACGCTTCATTATTGCACACATTTATAGGAATTTTTTTCTGAATTTGGTGACACCATATCATATACGCGCAAACAATTATTTGCATGAAGAAAGTGGAAATAAAAGGAAGTGAAACTTTAATAATTACACTGCATAGTCTCCTGGTGCGTAAGACATTTTCAAAAAGAAAGCGGTAAATATCAGAATAAAATTAACAAAAAATGTCAATACAATTGATTCTATTATTTTTTTAGATTCTTTGATGTTGATTATATTGCCGCCCTTACAATGCACAAAACAACCAGAGGTGGCCCACTGTTAAAAAAGTGTAGGTAGTAATTTCAAATACACTGTGTCCAGGGTACGGATGTCTAACACGAGGCTTTCCGAAACCATAGATACAACGATTGTCAAATTAACCAAAATTTGCTCGTTTTTATTTCTTCTGGTATTATTTGAACACATTTAAAAAACACTTTCTCATTGCCACTTTTTGAGCTCTACAAGATGGCGTTAAGAGATTTTCGATACAAAAAAAGAAGTTGCAAACTGTTGGTTTCAACAGGAAGGTGCACCTACGCACAACGCCCTAATCGTACACGAATACAATATATTGGAGAAATAAGAAATGTCTGACAGGTTTCCTCGCACGATTAGGGCTTTGCTGTAACCAACAATTTCCAACTTATAAATAAATAAATAAACTTTTGTATGTATTGTAATTTAATTGCGCAACTTTTCCCTAATTTGACTATCTTCTATGGTCTTCGAGATTCCCATGATATACTTATCTTGGACACAGTGTACATTGTATATACAAATATTCGACAATTTTTAAAAGTTTTTCGTGCCGAAGCTCATTCATACCTCAAAGCTCAAAAAGTACCCACACAGGCAAATTGGAATATAGATCAGTCAAAGCTAAAACTAATGCCAAATGAATTTTGGGTCTCAGTCCTCAGAGGTCAACTACCAGGGTCAGAGATCTGAGGATGTCATTAGGTCGTGTAATCATGTAAACAAAAATTGGGCGGGTGAGATTTTTTCGAAGAGCTTCAAATGTTTCGTTTGAGAACTGCGCCACCGAACTTTTAGCGACCCAAATGACGATTGAGGCGCCAAAACCAATGGGTGCAAAAGGTTTTTTTCGAAATTTTTGTTAGTAATCTTCAATTAAATTGTTGATTAAATAATACAAAAACAAAATGTAGTCAATAATTTGAATTTAAAACGCAACGAGAATAGAGCGAGTGAATAATCAAACGCGATCAGATGTTTAAAGGGCGTCGTTCTGGCGATGTAGGATCGCTTTACAGGCGTCGAGACGGGTAAATTTAGCTCAAGGTCCAACCGATTACTCTCGTCTAAATCGAGTCGACGTTTTTAAAACGGCGCGATTATAGCGGCGAAAACTTTACATAAAGGGGCCGCAAATCAGCTGGTCTTAATCTGTAAAAAAGTTAATAACCTTGCCATGTTGCCGGTTCAAATGTTTAAAATGTGTCTATTTAAGGTAACCTTGAACCATTCTAGGCGGCCGGATACAGTCATAACGAATTTTTCTCTGCTACACAACTAAGCGCCGCTTTTGCATGCCTTCTATAAATAGACGTCAGAAATGTGACCCGAATTTCAAAATTAGTCGCAATTTTTACCTCTTGCGTTCACCTCGACCCCTTGGCTAGTGCGAGAATATCGATTTATGTACTAGGTACTTGTTATGAAATGTTAGTAAGTCGGTCATCGTTCATTCCAAACAGACTTGATCTAATTACCGTATTTATTAAGTACTTTAGACCCTTTTTCAGATTATGTTAACCTGATATTATTTTAATTAGAAAAACCGTTTTCGGTGATACCAATAATTAACAAAAGTGGAATTTATATATTATACCCAGCAAATTTATTAACATAACACTACGAGAATTATTAAAAACTGACCGATTATTTTAAGGCATCGCTAATTATATAGCGAATATGATTCGTTTCCGGTCATCGACGCCACGACGGCGCCGGTATCTTACAATATTAATATAATACACATTGCACATAGGGGGCATTGATATTGAAAGAAATATAGTAAGATTAGATCGTATTAAAAGATTCCAATAGAGCTACTCAAAGTTTTTAAAGATTCCCAAAAATTGCATTACTGATCCAAAGGGTTTCCAAAACGATTTTCCAAATGTTTCTAATATTTGAGAAGGAATCGCTAGATTAAGAGCTTAAAAATACGATTTTCAGGAAATTGCCGATAAATGTGTGTTTCAACGATTATGGGAACATTGCTGATATTTTTTGGGGCCAAAATCCCGATTGGAAAAAATACGTAATATTGTGATTTTATAATTTTTTTGAGGTTACTTTAAGCAAAACACAGAAATAAAACACACTTTCTCATTTCGACTTTTATAGTTTTACAAGTTTAATAGCAGTTCCAATATCGATACCGAAGTGATTATTTGTGAAGTTCGCGCGCGTATATGATAAATTTACATGTTATAAATTTGTGTAGACTGTTATATATAAATGTATTTATTACTGATTAATTGTAAATAAATAAATCTCTTAATTAAATTTATGTTAGAATCGCAAGGATAAAATTTAAGTTTACTAGAAATCCAAAATTTAACTTTGGCTCATTCTGTATGGTGTATATGAGTGAAACTTGAGGGTAACCACTGCCATTTATAAAACTAAGAAGATATTGAATTGGGCATTCAAAAAATTTTCCTTCCCTCAATCATTCACATTGACCGGTGTGAATAATCGCCGCATTAATTACTTTGACCGTAGTCTATATATTATGTTTAGGTATCCATGGTTTTGAAGGTGTCAACTGGGTCACACTCAGTGGCGTATTTCCGGGGTTGAGTTATCATCATAGCTATTAGGTATTTAGGTAATACCCCGCTATCCGCTCCGCCCACTTTAAAATAAAGGCAATAATATATGTATAGGTATATGTAGAGAGCAATTTTGGTTTTGGTTAAAGTCTAAAGTCACTAAAATCTAAATATTCTGTAGTATTCAGTATTCACTATTCAGTGAGTGATCAGTGTTGGCAGTCAACGATTTGGCTATTCGGCATCGATCGGCAATTCGCTACATTGATGCCCAAAATAACAAATAGGTATCAGGTACTTAGTACTGCTACTGAGGTGAGGTACCTGCGTCCTGCCTTTCACGAAATGACGAAAATAAGAATTTTAAATTTTAAAAACAGGAATTTTTTTTGCCCATAACTTTTGATTGAGACGTCTAATCGAAAAAGTACGAATCGTTTTGGATTCTACGCACCCAAATTAATAAGAAAAAGTTTTTTCCCGAGAAATTTTGGTGCAGTCGATTTTTGGTAAAAAAGGAAGGTAATAACTGCCTTTTTTTTGCCCAGAAAAAAAATTGTCTCAGATCGACCGGAAAAAAATATTTTCTTATAGAATGTGGCCTGTAGAATCCATAATTTCAAACAATTCGAAGATTGCGCCACTAGTTCAAAAGTTACAGCCCTTTGAATTTTTTTTCGAAATTGTTTTCTAATCTATAACTTTTGATCGGAAACATGCCCATAAATATACCTATTACTCAAAGTTTTCGTTGACTAATTAAAGCAAAAGCAATAAAGGGGCCTGTCAGCAGTAACAAATAAAATACCGTTCTAATCTAATCTTTTTCGCCTGTACAATAATAAATAGAAGTGACTACCAGCATCAGCAACCTGCAACCCAATTTCTATTTCTTCCCCCCCCCCCCTTCTAGTACGTACTGGGTTAATGTATGTGCCACGAACTTGTTTAATCCCCCCCCCCCCCAGAATACATTTCTACGTACGTCACTGGTCACACTTCCAGCAACGTAAATGGTAGATATTCGAGTTCGACTGTACGTAGACTTTCGGTGCTGTCTTGAAATTTGCCGTAATCCTTCGGAAATGGAAATTAGTTTTGGTACATTAATTTCCCCAAAAAAAGGTAAAGGTGCAATGGAAACGTATTTTGGTACATTGAACTCTGAGAGGCCCAATTTCAAGAGAACGTTGCGTGTTACCTTTAACAATTATAGATTTAAGTGGGGGGTACAAAAAAGGTGAAATTAAATAAAAAAATTATTTTCAGCCGCGTCAAGCAAGACGGTGAACCGCCGACGACAATGGAGGCGGAAAAGCGGATCCGTCGGGAAATCGCCAACAGCAACGAGCGACGTCGCATGCAGAGCATCAATGCCGGATTTCAATCTCTACGATCGCTTTTGCCACACCACGAAGGCGAAAAATTGAGCAAGGTAAGTGCGAAGTATCTGAAAAAAAAGTTGAACGGTTGTATCTTTAATTATTGTGTGGTCTAGACGTGTTGCCATTTGCATTCGTGCTGAAGAAAAAGAAAATCACTCGAATGGAACACGTGTTATGCGAAGGTCGCGAGTCTCTTGTTATTAAAAAATTAGCCAAAGAACTCAGGTGTCGAATCTACTGTTGAGCTGTTCTCCCGTTTAGCACCAGACGTTGCCGCCGCCGAAAGTAGGTCAGGGTATTTTTGTGTGCTCCATCAACCGCATTTGTTTACGATGGTGTGCCCTGACAAGTTCCGTAAATGAGGCCGAGGTCGTCTCGATTTATAAAAATCATTCAAAACCCACATTTTAATGACGGAGGACCTGGAGTTACCGGGGCTCCTGACTCATGCGAGCAACCTTCGGTAGGCCTCTTTTGGTCTAGACAAATATCAGCTGGTTTTATTAAAAATTACGCCCACCGTATCTCATATTTAAAAATACTTTTTATCGCGGATGAAGCGCCCTCTACGAAAAATAAATGCGATAACACTGATAATGGTCTTGTATTATTCAATCCTACGTAATAATGCATGGGGGTATATTGCGTGACACGACGGAAATAGTCTACTCTCATTATTTTTGGGGAAAAAATAGGTACTAATTATTTTTAATAGGATATTCTTGTAGCGTATTGACACACACCAAGACAGCTGCGAGTTTTCTGTGACGCACCTTGAAAAGGCCCACCAATATTTTGCTTTCTTTTGTCACGTAGAAAAGGCCCCCTCCAGGTTCATGCACAACTGCATTTTGTCGAAAATATACAAATGAAGGGATCAATCGACAAAAAACTCCCCCCTCCCCCCCTGCTTGTCAAGTCGGCAGGAAAGAAGGCCGATTCACATGTTCGCACGGCTATCAGTTGCGCGCTGCAGTTTTGCGCACTGCATTTTATCTATTGACCTTCTCAATGCACTTATATGCAGTTGTAGTGTAGTACGTTGCATTTTACGTGTAGGTACGAACATCGGACCTCTTTCTCTAACGCTCTCCTTTTACATCCGTCTCCTGACGTCACGTCTGGCTGGACTCCCGCCAGAATTCTACATCTCACCTACCCTATTTTCCAATAAAATATTTAATCCATTTATTTGGCAGCATCACGCTTGAAGGCCGTTTTAAAGATGCGTTCGTTAACCTTTTAATGTGTGCGCGAGTTTTAAAATTTCGCAAGACACCAAGACCCCAGCCTTTTCGATCTGTTGACGTCAGGCGAACGGAGGTTGCCATAGTAACCGCTTCGGCATTGATCCTGCTATCCCACCTCCACCCACCGTCTAGAGCCCGAAGAGCGGACCAAATCGTTATTCCCCGAAAATTGAACGGGTAGTGAACTTTCTCCCCCTTGTCCCATCCCCCTACGCAATTATGTTTTACGTCGCGACGCAATGAAATTTGTGGTTTGTAATCGGAGTAATTCCCTATTATAAGGAGTTGAATAAATGGGAGCACGTGGTCTACGCTAGAAATCATTAAAATCGGTCGTATGTGCGCACTTGCGGTAATCAGGCCGTATACTTATCTTTGTATCGGGAAAGAGGCGCCCGAATACAATTTTAGCGTTCCGACGCGGCGCTGGCCTTGCTAGGCGTCGGAACACAAAAGACTGCGTGACCGTCCTTGGTCGCAACTATATCGATCCCTTTAAATTTATACGTCGTACTAAAGGTCCTTATGATGTGTACGAAACACCTGTTTTGCTGAACAATATTGCGTCCTACGTTTCATAAGTGGTTAGGATGTAGGATACAGGAAGTAGCGATAAACGATTCCGGTTCCAAGGTCTCACACCGATTTTAATGGAGTCAATGACACCAGACATTAATAGCCCAAGAATATTAGATTCAGTTTAGACCGAAGGACTTTGGCCTAGAAAGGTGAACACTTGAATGCTACCCACTCCCACTGTCTACAAATCTCATTTTTACCAAGTGAGACTGTCCACCGTCAAAAAAAGCTTCAGGATGAATTGGCCTCCCACATTTTCTACAAAATAAACCACGCGTAAATTCCCCTAAGAAAATTGAGGAGACCGAGGAATCTGGAAGAAGACTTTAAAATTGTGAAGGAATGGAAAGGTCAGAAAAATCCAAGGAAGTAGATACATAGTCTGAAGGACGGAAACATCTGAAGAAACGGAGAAACCGAACAATTCAAAGAATGTGATTAACTCTTAAGAATCACAAAAAATTATCCAAAGAGTCAACAATTCTTTGGATCTCGAGTACCTCAGAAAGCAGGTCTCATTACAAACCATTTTGGAAATATTTCTCTGTCTGAACTAGATAAAAACTTTCCCGGGATTATCATTTGTTTAAAGTATTCTCGGGAAAACATCTCATTGGAAACCTTTAAATTCGCGAGATTCCCATGGCTTCTTCGATTAGTAATTCTTAGGTATCGGACATTATCCAGGAAATTTGTCCGATAGGTATTCTGGCACGATTAGGGCCTTGTGGGCGGGTGCCCCATCCTGTTGAAACCGTCGGTTTCCAACTTTTGTGTTGTGTACCGTACGTCCGTACATCATTGTATTCGTAATAAAAAAATGCTACTCAAAACAGTGTGTTTTTTTGCAGACCATGACCATGTGTTTTTTGTTTTTTTGTACCTATCTGTTTAAAGAATATCGTAAAAAATCAAAATCGGAAAAGCTCCCCATGAAAGCAGCTGGAAATTGGGTTGGAGTGAGTTGTCGGAAACTTGGACTTAAATTCAGCGTTTCAAAGGACACGATTCGGACCCAATCGAGCATTTACGCCTCTCAATTGGTGTACGATAATAGTTGGAAAGCAAAATCGGTCGATCAACTGAAAACTCGTGCCAAAAAAATTTATTTATTTTTTATTGAAACGAGACACCTGTCTATTTTGCAGAAATAAAAATTTATATTCGCTTCTTTCTATTTTCTAAAATGAGATCGACTTAAGGTGGGTTCATACGTTCCCGTTTCGTTTTAATGCCGCCGCGGTGCTACTTTCGCTCTCGGAGCATGCGCACTTACTTCTATAAGCTACAAACGTGCGTCTTTGCCGTAATGACAGGAGTTGGATCCGGAACCGATTGCATTTAGAAGCTTCTGACATGGAACCGGAACCGTTGTTTAAAAAGTTATGATAACCGGAACCGGTACCGTTATTATTTGTGCCAAATAACCGGTATTTTTCTGGAATCAAAGCTCGACTGCGACAGAGAGTCTTTGTACGCCACTGCCCATTTTAAAAAACTATAACTTTTTTGTGACTTTTCTTGTTTTTTCAATGAATAAACATTTGTTTAATTTTAATTTTTTTAACGCTCTTCGATTATCGTTAAACTAAGGTAGATTTAGACAGCTCATCTTTTTTTGGCGCCCCCTGTAGACCGCTGGCGTTTGACGGTCATTGATCCCTATATAAGGTCCCGAAACGTCAATAGCTAACTCTTTATATCAACCATAGTTATATAACAAAAATAAACCATGGTAAGATACGGTATGCCTATGCGCATGTGTTTATAGCTACTACAGGTATAGGCATAGCACAGCTGACTCGGCCGCCATGTTGGAGCCCACTGACACTGACGTTTGTAAAGCGTTCCATGTTTTGATTTTTTCAACGTTTATTAATGCTTTATTTTTTTTAAAATAATTAGTAATAATAGTGATAACGTTTATATTATTTTAATAAAATAATATAAACTATTATTACTAATTATTAAAACTACACCGTATCGTTCAAAAATGGAGACCTTCCTGCCTTTATTATACCTTAAGCTCAATTTTGACGTTACATTTTTTTTAGTAAAAAATGTTTGTTCAGGCTGTCGTTCAAAAAATGCAACGTCTAAATTGAGCTATACCCGAGATCTCTAGAGGCAATAAAAAGAACTTAAACTACATTTTTGAAATAGTACAGTTAAGGTGATACGTAGCTTTTCTGTTTTGTGGAATTTAAAAAAATTTAAATGCATCCAGTACGATTACTAAACCATCTTAATTTGTTGTCACCAGATTTCGAACAATTTAAAAGGTATCCAGTGCAATTTTGCAACTAATTATAATTATAAATCCAGTTTCAAAACCCACTGGTAATTGAAGCAGAAAACTTGCATAGATATAAAACGAGACATAAAATGTGCCCAGTGTAATTATACTACCAATAGTAAAAGAAATTTTTAAAAATCAACTGTTGACACACTAGACGTCCAAGGCTTTTCATTTGATTTATTTATTTCCACAAAAAAAAAACAGAAAAGGGGAAAAATATACATAAAAAAATGCAAATATTTAAAATGCGCCCAGTGTAATTACACCACCAATAATAAATACTTCAGCAAGATCTCGTTACCCGTGGATGTTTTGTTGGGAAATCAATCTTGCAATTTTTCTTGTAAATTTATGTAAAAGTATAACGTGTGACACGTCATTATTTTTGTCTTCTATCTCATTTCGCAAAAATCCAATACGGCAATACGGCGTCCATAAGAAATAAGAAAGTAGTACCCTAGCTTCTACATATAGGGTGTTATGGTAATGCGGATAACAGATTTAAATTCTCCAAAAAAAAGGGTGCCCATAAAATGCGCTAACGGAAACCGTCTTATTTCCGGCGGTTGAAGCTGAAGTTTGAATTTTTCGGTGATATGTCAGTTGTTTTCTAAGATTTTTCAAAAATTTCAAATGCGTTTTTTTAGTCACCAAAAAGGGACAACTTTGCCTCCATTTAACATAGGTACCTAAGTAACCGTCTCGCCGTTAAGGACTTAGATCATATATGTTAATATACAGAGTGGCCCAACGAGAAGTATACAGAGGGCTTTTAGGGTATTAAATTTAGAAATTTTGAAAAATCCTCGATCACGTCAATTTTGTATTCGAGGATTTGACAATTTTGTATTTGGAATACAAATCACGAACCCAAGTTTTGACCCCTCTACGTAGGGAGCTTAACCCCAAAAATTTTAAATGGAATCCTATGGCAAATGGCACATTATTTGAAAGCTAATTTAATCGTGATTACTAATCTGCTTTGCTTTTTATATTCTATTGATTCGTTTCGGAGATATTCGCATTTGAAATGGTTTTTTCCCCTGATTTAAGTCCTTTAGATTACTTCTTGTGGGGATATTTAAAAAATAAAGTTTATGCTACTCCGCCCGGAACATTACAAGGGTTGCGAGCACGTATAACCATAGTGTAAGAATAGAATACACTATGGTATAACTCAACAATTTCGAGCGATTACCCCTGAAATCTTGCAACATGTACGGCAGCGTTTTGAAGCAAATTTTTATTATTGCATGGAAGCAGGCGGGAGGCAATTCGTGCATTTATTGAAATAAATGTTGTGTGTTTAAAGTTATTTGTTGTTTTTTGCACAATTTAAACCTTTTTTAATACAAGGTGACTTAGATCGCATTTGTTTTGGATTTTTTAGAAAAAACCATTTCAAATGCGAATATCTCCGAAACGAATCAATAGAATTTAAAAAGCAAAGCAGATTAGTAATCACGATTAAATTGGCTTTCAAATAATGTGCCATTTGCCATAGTATTCCATTTAAAATTTTAGGGGTTAAGCTCCCTACGTAGAGGGGTCAAAGTTTGGGTTCGTGATTTGTATTCCAAAAGTTGTCCCCCTCGAATACAAAATTGACGTGTTCGAGGATTTTTCGAAATTTCTAAATTTAATACCCTAAAAGCCCTCTGTATACTTCTCGTTGGGCCACTCTGTATATGATCTAAGGTTACGGAGATCCCAATGGTGACCCACGAATTTGAACCACCCTGTATATGGTGATCATGAAAATTAAGTGCAGATTCCAATGTAATCTTACAAGTATGGCCGAATGTATATTTTTCAACTCACAAATTTTGGACAAGAGACGTAAAATTATTTACAGAGTGAGAAAAAAAAGTGTGCAAGTTTGATAGGTACTCGATAAATGAATTTAATAGATTGTCGGGATTCTGTCTATCAGTTCATACTTTACTGCCTAGTGCCTAGTTATTCAATACAATATCCTCCAACTAGTCCCACATTCCACAACCTCGCGAATCAAGTAGTCCAGTTGGGTAAAATTCTTCTTATGGTCAAGGCCGTATGTTGGGTGAACTGGTGATAGCAGTTGCTATAGCAACTTTTTGCTTTCGTGACATTCCCTATTTCCCTTTACAATACGAGGAAGAAAGCTGAACGGTGAGATGAGAATGTACCAACCGATCTCGCTCGATCATTGTTTCTCTCTTCTCTGTCTTGGTTGCGCCGCCAGCATGCATCAGGAAATGCAATAATTTAAATAACGTATAGCTAAATTAGATAGGTACCTATTATTATATAATCCCGAATTAAATTGTTACGGAATGTAAACGCCTAAACAGTTGTAAATGTAAATACATGTTAAAAAGAGAAAAAAAACGATTAGTTGGCGCATTTGTGTTCCCACGTTGCACTCGGTCACTGGATGCACGAACTTGACGTCACACATTCCAAAGCGATCCCCTTACCTCGTCGGCCCCCCTTGACATAGATCAACCACCTCGTCAATGGAAGTTCACTTCTGTCGTGTTGCATAATCAATTTAAATGAAATCTTTTCGAATAATTGAACACCTGCAACGCCATCCTTGATTGCTTTACAGTAAACTTCTAGCATTGAATAGTCGAAACATCGTGGCCTTGATTCCGACGATGTTATTGACCTATACTGTTGCGACCGGATAATATTATTTTATTATTATTCATTTTTATGAGAGAATGAGAACCTACTTGTACTGTTCGTGTTTAAAAAACCCCTTCATTTTCTATACTTCGGAAACTGGAAGACTTCCGGTCGCCGCCACGCCCAGCTGATATTCGGCTTACGTCATTAGCGTCGAGACGCTCGATACGCAACCCGCAGTTCTGACGTCGCGGGGTGAATATCCTACGCTAAAAGTCTGGCGTACGTGCCGTTTATCACCGCTTCCTTTTTTAATGCTTATAGCAAAAAGACACCGAAAATTAAAATTATTACAAGAATGGCATTTTTAGCATTCCACGTTGCATTATAAGTTCACGTTGGCTATTTATAGAACTTGCGTTACAAGTTTTTCTTTTTTGCAACTGACCGAGAGCGTGAGGCTACATGTTTTTTATTACATTACAGGCTGCCATATTGCAACAGACGGCCGAGTATATTTACTCACTGGAACAAGAAAAGACCCGATTACTGTCACAAAATTGCCAATTAAAGAGATTGGTAAATCAGCACGAGGTTGGCGAACTTCCTCCAAAAAAGCGCAAGACCGAAGTGATTATACCAACGATATCCGATACCAACGAGGAATGCCTGGAACCGATGACGACACCTGAACCTACTGTTGGTATCTTATCCGTAGCCGTGGTCGATGGCGATTCTCCCGCCGAATTGAGGAGACAGCTTGATCAGGAGCGTGGCGTACGCATTCTTCTTGAGGAACAAATACGACAGCTCGAAGGACAGCTTTACCAACAGCAAGTTTATCAAATGTCATCTCCTGAGGATCCAGAAGATATTTCCCTTCAGGTATGAATTAATGATCATTGTACTGGGTGAAGCAAGCGTATTTTCTTATCACTTTTTTGGTACTCATCCATTTCAATGCATTTGTCGTTTTCCTCTGTTGCTAGCAAATTGTCAGGAACAATGATGCATTCCGTCCGACCATACCGCGAATTTTACACACTTGTTTGTATGATTCTTAGCATTCCGACTGCTATTTTTCCTGATGCACCTTGTATTTACTATGTGGCAATGGTGCCATGTACTGTATGGTAAATGTTCCACTTTTTATGGACTCAGTGACACATGAATTACGTAATGCACACCCTATGAAACACTCCGGGGAGGGTGGGGGGCGGTGGCATTCAATTTTTTCAGATGAGAATAAGAATTGTATCTCCAGAGATACGCGATCAGAACCGCTCTGTGTCGGACGCTCAATTATTTAAGCCCCATGCTCAGTTCCAAGACTGAAATTTTCAAACCTCACTTTGCCTCATTTAACAAGACGGGCGCCACTGTTGAAACGTACATTATAGTGCACAATTAGCACTGCGGTAGTTGAAGTTGCAGTACACTTTTATACCCAATGCAAGAAGTCAGCCACTTTACCTTTCAACGTGAGAATTTGAACAGAGCGAATTTTTGTTGAGAATTTTATTTAATTTGAATGAATTCATAATTTTTCTGAATTTTTCCTAAGATGCTACGTTTAGATAAACACCCAGTTCCCAATTTCGTAAAAAAAGATCATGTGAAATTGGCTTTCAAGAGTGTTTGATGCTCTGTCTCTTTTTTCCAAGGAAAATGTAAAAGTACCATAACATTTTATATGTTCCAACGGACCCTACTGTCGGGAATGTAGCGAACCCACTCGCCTTAGGTGCCCTCCGATCTTAGTCCTTATTTCCAAGTTTTGGTTCTGAAAAAGGTAAAGGCATTTTTCTTAAATTGTTACTATGTACACGGTGTTACGTAATTCGCGCCCACGGACAATGGGGGTTTAATTGAGACAAAACTGAATAGAAAGCCTTTTTGCGATCAGAGAATTTAAGATAGGAGAGTTGCAAACAAAAATGAGAAAGAGAAGAAGAATTATTTTTATTTCATTGCCTCTACACGTGTTTGGACATGTTTAATAACATTATTTATTATTTCTGGAAGAAAAGCTTCATTGTCCGTGGGGGGAATGTCGTAACACCTGGTAGACCTGCTAGCATAGCGTGATATTGCATATATTGATAATAAATATAGCTAGAATATTTTTGTAATATGCAATGATGTCTACAGCATATCGCATGTATGTTGCATAGGTTACAACTGGATGTCCTATGGATATCTGGAATGGTTCATAGCATAGGTATACCATGTATATTCCCACAAAGGATTTCTAACATACCTGCTATTTTTCCCATCCAGTTTTTACATTCTCGCCATTGACTAATACTCCCCCCATAGACAGCTCATCAATGTAGACAAATAAAATGGTGTTTTTTGATATAAGCACCAGAGTGCGCCAATGACGAATAAATTGTGTATAATACTAGGCACACGTTGAGAATTTAAATTTTACTTCTTTGTCGAATACGTAAAACGGTAGGTCTTTGATTAACACAATAAGCTATACATTGACTGTATGGAAGAGATAAGATAATCGCGAATTAGAGATTTATTGTCGGCAGTATTTGTCGGCTTCTTTTTTATTATTTTAAAGGCGGACTTTTTTTTATTTTGCGAAATTATAAATTTCTCTTGAACTCTATTCCTAGTTTAGGTTTAGTCTCAATCTTTCAACCAGCTGTATGCTATTTCGTTGTGACTGATTTGAATTACAATGTCAGGAAATAAATGTGTATATGCTAAATGTATTCGTTCCCATATAAAGACACTGAAAGATGTGAAAAGTGGAAATTAAGAACAGGTGAGCTAAAACGCCCGACAACGATATATTTTCTTTCCTTTTATTGGAACCGCGGGAGTTTTTTTGGTATTCCGTATTGGCATTGAATAAGTCCTATGATTACTTATTCAATGGTATTGGCCATTTTTAAAAAATTAAGTTTTATTCGTCTAAATAAAATGTTCCACCCTTATAAAAAATTAATTGTTTCAAAAATTATTGTACTCGGCCAACTTCACGCAGTGGCGAACTTTTTCATAAACGATTTTTATATAAGAAATATTCGCCGCTCTACGTGAGTTGATATCGCGTGTAGTTTTGAAATAACTCATTTTCTCTCACGGTAAGTATACAAAATGTTATTTTAACGGTTCTAACGGCTTAATTTCTGCATGATAAACTTCATTTATGAAAAAGTCCGTGATTCTCTGAAGTTGGCGGGATACTATAATTTCTGAAATAACTACAAAATTCAAGACTTAATGTGTCTATAGGAAACCCAGAACTGTTGAACTTTGAACCAGGGGAATTAAAATCGAAATTTTTGTGTGAAGAACATTTTTCAAGAAATAGCTTTGTCAATGAATCGAAACACCGATTGATACATAATGCAGGTCCACAGAAATTTTATTGTGCAATTTGCAATTTTATTGTTTTTGCACAAGAAAACTGTGGAAATCTAGAGAAATTCGGATGGAAGCAGATAGGAAGAAACGTATGAAAAGAC